TTTCAATTTACATGTGACTAATTCAGGGGCCAAGAATGAAAGAAGTATATGTGGGCATACATATAATACTCAGCTTTCCCAAACTGAAGATAATTAAGTGCAAAATTTATTGATTAAGTTCTGAGATTATAAATTTAGGAGAGAGATTGAATCTATTCAAAAAAGTTGAAATTAATATATTTTTTTCAACTTCTAGAAGTGAGTATATAATTTTAATAATTTTATCGATTTAACATATTTTAGAAAGATCAGAAGATAATTGATTAACTTTAGTCTAATTAGAATGATAATTAATTCTAATTTTATACTACTTCTTAATAATAGATATTAGGCAAATATTTAAAAAAGGAGGAAACAATAAATAAATTTATGAAAGAATTCATCCAAAAATAGATTTTAAACTAATGTAATTTAGAATATGAAACTATAAAATTAGATATTATTACTACTTGAATCAGTGAATTAAAATGCTTTGCTTCAATAAATTAAGAATTCCTTACTTTACTAATCAATTTATCAATTTAGATTAATTATATCCTAAGATCTTATTATAAATAGTTTGGACTCCAATGGCAATTTTTCCAACATTATTCTCTCCAACTCTTCATTTTACTCAAAACTCATACAAAGAGCATTCGATTTTTGAAGGAAAAAGGATAGAATTACATTCAAGTATGAAAATTTTAGGAAAGAATGAAGACGAGTGATCAAAATAAGTTATCACTAATTATATAAATTTAATGGAATTAAATTAAGAGGTATACGGAGACAGGAATAAATGAGTAACTTTTTTATAACTCTAACTGCTAATCTCACTCATACTCAATATTTATTCAAACATAAGAAATTTATTTGATCCAATAAGAGCTTCGAAAAATTCAACATAATTGACAGTAAAATAATGGTTTCGTCTGTTTCTACTCTATAATGCAATCATCTGATAATAAGTTACTCTCCAACAGAGGAGTTCTATCCTCATGATAAATGCTTTTGGATAATTGATTTTAAGAATGTCTTAAAGTACCAAACTTGCCGGTGTGGTTTTGGGAGATGATATTTTTCTAAGACTTTATAAAGTAAATCACCAATTTGAGTTTAAACTTTTGAAATAAGGATAATGTTTTAAAGATTAGAAAGAAATAACTCTCTCTTTTCAATAATTTTTTATTAAATTTTATAAATGTTTGCTTTAAACTACTGGTTTATGCTCTATTATGAATCTTTTCTTAATGTATGCTTTCCACTAACTATAAGCTGAAATCTCTTAATTAATTGCTCATTTTAAGCTGTAATTTATAAACTATTTAGTAAATTCTGAGATTTACATCCTTCTCATAAAATAATAGGAGATTTACTTATTAAGTTGTTATGTCAGAGCCAGGCAGTCTTTTTACTTCATAAAATGGTAATGGATCCAAATTTCCCTACTTTATTTGTTCCACCTGATAAATAACCAACGAGAATTATATAAGCGAGATTAGAAATTGTATCTAATGTTCTTTAAGAGTTTGGATATGATTAAAGATAATTTAATCATCAAGATATCTTCTTTATTCTAGCTACTCCTTGTCTTTTTCATTAGGCAAATGAAATTAGACTGTTAAGTATTGAAGTTATTGCAGCTTTATATCAATTTGTTGGAGTAGAAATCAGAACCATGGTTGATGCTATTGAAAATCTTAAACCTGGTTTGAAAGATTAAATCATGGCAAGATTGGATGAAATAGATTAATAAGCTCCTGGGAGCAAATAAGTTGATAGAGGCTTGAGTCTTGTACCTGAAGAGGAATAGGAAGAAAATTAATCAGCTTTACTAAAAAAACAAAAAGATAATGCCAACTCCTAAAAACAAGATCTTGATAAGTCCATCAATAATGTATCTTAAAGCAAAAACCAAGATAAACTAAATAATTCATCATTAAAATCCACTTTTTATTGTTAACTATAATTTATTAAAACAATAATTAATGAGTAATTCATAGCAAACACCGTGTCCATTTCATGATGGTTAATTTATTTCATTGATTCGTAAGAATATTAGATCTGAAGGTAAAATGAAAATGTGCTCAAAATGCTTTTTCGATGAAGAAAATCTTCAAAAGAAAGATGTTATAATAATTGATGAATTTGATACCAAAATAGCAAATTTGGGTTCATCCTTAGAAACAATATAACATACATCATTATAATAATTGGAAATATTAAATGACATCAATTAAGAAAAAGATAGATTAGGGCAAGCCATCGTTGAAATGGGACAGAAAAAATAGTCTTTAGATAATTTTATAAAAACATCTTAAAGTTCTTTTTAATTAGGGAGTGTTAATTTAAGTGACAATTAGGTAAGTGATTTTATGGAGCTATTTAATCAACAGGAATTGTTAAGAAATATTAATTTAGAGTTATAAAGATCTCTTGATCCATTAAGAGATTTAAGGACATTTTTAAAATAATAACGAGAAAAAATTCTATAAGATATCTAATTAATAAATTAGATTTTAAATGGAAAACTATCAATCTAATCTGAAAATTTACATTAATAATAATGGAATGGTGAATCTACTTTAAGCCTTTTGAGAAGTAATTTATAATTAATTTTAAGATCTAATTTTAAATTTAGAAAGAGATCATATTAGCCAGATTTAAAAAGGAATGGAATCATTCAAATAAGAAAATTTAGATTCTGATGTTCTGTTAGAAGAACATAATTCATATTCGTCAAGAAGTAAATTATAAATATAATACGAGATATTTTTGAATGTTAACTAAAAAGTTATATAGGCCATATATCTTACGGATCAGAATAATAAGAAAATTAGGCTGATGAACTTTTGATTTCTGAGTCTGCTTTAAATTAATAAAGTACCTTAATCAAATTATCAGAATAGATTCTATTCAATTTTCGATTAGATATTAATAAAATCAAGATCTCTAAAATAAAGGATTCACTTTAGTCTTTATTTTCCCTCAGGAGTAGAGGACATTTTTTATTATATTGAATCCACAAATTTCTGTGAGATTAGTGGCTTTGGAATTTCAAAAAGTTTTAAAGTCTTCACAAGGAATAATAATGTGTCTTAATGACCTGATTTTAGTCATGGACAGAACTTTTGGAGAATAAAATGTATAAAATGGTCAAATTCTCATGTGTTATCTAAAATAGTAAGTAAATGATTGAGAGTAATTCATAAAAATGAATATTAAATTTTATCATTGCCTTCTTATAAATATTTTTTAGATTTTATGAATCTTATAAATTATTAAAATTATTATTCATTTTAAGATTTTCTATAAAAGAAAATTAGGAATTTATCTTGAAATAATTTGTAAACTTAATTAAAAGAATTCTAATATTTTATTGATATACATGCGAGAACTTTTTGATCAAAACAAAGTATATGTAAATATGCACTTGCACTTGAAAAATTTTATCATCCAATCTTCCTTATCATAATTATTAATAAATTTGTGTGGAAATATAGATATCTAGATTAATAATCATTGATTATAAAAATAACTACTTCTCCCAAATACAAAATTTATNGATAAACTAAATAATTCATCATTAAAATCCACTTTTTATTGTTAACTATAATTTATTAAAACAATAATTAATGAGTAATTCATAGCAAACACCGTGTCCATTTCATGATGGTTAATTTATTTCATTGATTCGTAAGAATATTAGATCTGAAGGTAAAATGAAAATGTGCTCAAAATGCTTTTTCGATGAAGAAAATCTTCAAAAGAAAGATGTTATAATAATTGATGAATTTGATACCAAAATAGCAAATTTGGGTTCATCCTTAGAAACAATATAACATACATCATTATAATAATTGGAAATATTAAATGACATCAATTAAGAAAAAGATAGATTAGGGCAAGCCATCGTTGAAATGGGACAGAAAAAATAGTCTTTAGATAATTTTATAAAAACATCTTAAAGTTCTTTTTAATTAGGGAGTGTTAATTTAAGTGACAATTAGGTAAGTGATTTTATGGAGCTATTTAATCAACAGGAATTGTTAAGAAATATTAATTTAGAGTTATAAAGATCTCTTGATCCATTAAGAGATTTAAGGACATTTTTAAAATAATAACGAGAAAAAATTCTATAAGATATCTAATTAATAAATTAGATTTTAAATGGAAAACTATCAATCTAATCTGAAAATTTACATTAATAATAGCAGGTTAATGAGCCTAATTCACTTGAGTTGCTATGTTTTATATAATATTTATAATAGGTATTTTTGAAAGTTGTTTGTTTAAAAGTGGTAATGAAAGTTCATTAACGGAATCATACGAATAAATCATTTAATAAAGCAGTGAATCTTTTTAGAGTTTTTCGTTGATAAGTTAAAAATAATCAATACCTTAACTAGAAAACTAATAACATCAAACTATCACAATAAATTTAGTTTTCGATCATTTGCTAAAGACATATGAAGTTGATGCAGATCCGGTTGCATTTATTGGAGATTTAGCTAAGGAATTCAAATTGCTTCTTAATCATACAAAAGAAATATACTTTCTATATGAGGGCAATATTTTAGAAGAGAAACGTTCCTTTCAGCAACTAAATATTTAAAATGGTTATACTCTTCAGGGTTAGCTATAATATTGAAAATATAAAAAATATTACATTTAAGTATTAATGTTATTTTCAAGTAATTACAATTATTTCTTCTGTAATCCTTATGATATGGTATATCTGTAAATAGCATTACAATATTTTAAAAAAGAATGTAAAACTATTGGTACCAAATTAAATGATTATTTAAAAATGTTCTTGTCAAATTTAACTAATTTGCAATTTTGTAGTTGTGATAGTATTTTATTTTAAAGTAAGAAGAAGACTTGGAACAAATTTTAACCTTTTTAAACCTTATGAAATATGACTCTCGAGAATTTTAATGAAGATATAATTCTAAATAATTAGGCTTTGAATTTTTTTAAGGTTAGTACTATAAAATCAAAAGAAAATTTCTCTTAATCTTTTGGTATTGCTTTTAATTTTAATTTAACATTATTCCTTTTGATTCAGTGGGCATTACATTAGCAAATTTACTTTCTTATCAATTTTAAAAATTTTTACTCCAAATATCATTAGCCATATTATGTTCTAATTCTTTATTTCTTAGAGAAATATAAGATGTTCACATCCTCATTTTTCATCTAGTATTTCTTCATGCCGATTGGATTCTATAATTATATAAAATTAAAAATTTCTAAATTAATTAGGTATTCTCAATAGAATAAATTTTGTATTTGGGAGAAGTAGTTATTTTTATAATCAATGATTATTAATCTAGATATCTATATTTCCACACAAATTTATTAATAATTATGATAAGGAAGATTGGATGATAAAATTTTTCAAGTGCAAGTGCATATTTACATATACTTTGTTTTGATCAAAAAGTTCTCGCATGTATATCAATAAAATATTAGAATTCTTTTAATTAAGTTTACAAATTATTTCAAGATAAATTCCTAATTTTCTTTTATAGAAAATCTTAAAATGAATAATAATTTTAATAATTTATAAGATTCATAAAATCTAAAAAATATTTATAAGAAGGCAATGATAAAATTTAATATTCATTTTTATGAATTACTCTCAATCATTTACTTACTATTTTAGATAACACATGAGAATTTGACCATTTTATACATTTTATTCTCCAAAAGTTCTGTCCATGACTAAAATCAGGTCATTAAGACACATTATTATTCCTTGTGAAGACTTTAAAACTTTTTGAAATTCCAAAGCCACTAATCTCACAGAAATTTGTGGATTCAATATAATAAAAAATGTCCTCTACTCCTGAGGGAAAATAAAGACTAAAGTGAATCCTTTATTTTAGAGATCTTGATTTTATTAATATCTAATCGAAAATTGAATAGAATCTATTCTGATAATTTGATTAAGGTACTTTATTAATTTAAAGCAGACTCAGAAATCAAAAGTTCATCAGCCTAATTTTCTTATTATTCTGATCCGTAAGATATATGGCCTATATAACTTTTTAGTTAACATTCAAAAATATCTCGTATTATATTTATAATTTACTTCTTGACGAATATGAATTATGTTCTTCTAACAGAACATCAGAATCTAAATTTTCTTATTTGAATGATTCCATTCCTTTTTAAATCTGGCTAATATGATCTCTTTCTAAATTTAAAATTAGATCTTAAAATTAATTATAAATTACTTCTCAAAAGGCTTAAAGTAGATTCACCATTCCATTNATACATCATTATAATAATTGGAAATATTAAATGACATCAATTAAGAAAAAGATAGATTAGGGCAAGCCATCGTTGAAATGGGACAGAAAAAATAGTCTTTAGATAATTTTATAAAAACATCTTAAAGTTCTTTTTAATTAGGGAGTGTTAATTTAAGTGACAATTAGGTAAGTGATTTTATGGAGCTATTTAATCAACAGGAATTGTTAAGAAATATTAATTTAGAGTTATAAAGATCTCTTGATCCATTAAGAGATTTAAGGACATTTTTAAAATAATAACGAGAAAAAATTCTATAAGATATCTAATTAATAAATTAGATTTTAAATGGAAAACTATCAATCTAATCTGAAAATTTACATTAATAATAATGGAATGGTGAATCTACTTTAAGCCTTTTGAGAAGTAATTTATAATTAATTTTAAGATCTAATTTTAAATTTAGAAAGAGATCATATTAGCCAGATTTAAAAAGGAATGGAATCATTCAAATAAGAAAATTTAGATTCTGATGTTCTGTTAGAAGAACATAATTCATATTCGTCAAGAAGTAAATTATAAATATAATACGAGATATTTTTGAATGTTAACTAAAAAGTTATATAGGCCATATATCTTACGGATCAGAATAATAAGAAAATTAGGCTGATGAACTTTTGATTTCTGAGTCTGCTTTAAATTAATAAAGTACCTTAATCAAATTATCAGAATAGATTCTATTCAATTTTCGATTAGATATTAATAAAATCAAGATCTCTAAAATAAAGGATTCACTTTAGTCTTTATTTTCCCTCAGGAGTAGAGGACATTTTTTATTATATTGAATCCACAAATTTCTGTGAGATTAGTGGCTTTGGAATTTCAAAAAGTTTTAAAGTCTTCACAAGGAATAATAATGTGTCTTAATGACCTGATTTTAGTCATGGACAGAACTTTTGGAGAATAAAATGTATAAAATGGTCAAATTCTCATGTGTTATCTAAAATAGTAAGTAAATGATTGAGAGTAATTCATAAAAATGAATATTAAATTTTATCATTGCCTTCTTATAAATATTTTTTAGATTTTATGAATCTTATAAATTATTAAAATTATTATTCATTTTAAGATTTTCTATAAAAGAAAATTAGGAATTTATCTTGAAATAATTTGTAAACTTAATTAAAAGAATTCTAATATTTTATTGATATACATGCGAGAACTTTTTGATCAAAACAAAGTATATGTAAATATGCACTTGCACTTGAAAAATTTTATCATCCAATCTTCCTTATCATAATTATTAATAAATTTGTGTGGAAATATAGATATCTAGATTAATAATCATTGATTATAAAAATAACTACTTCTCCCAAATACAAAATTTATTCTATTGAGAATACCTAATTAATTTAGAAATTTTTAATTTTATATAATTATAGAATCCAATCGGCATGAAGAAATACTAGATGAAAAATGAGGATGTGAACATCTTATATTTCTCTAAGAAATAAAGAATTAGAACATAATATGGCTAATGATATTTGGAGTAAAAATTTTTAAAATTGATAAGAAAGTAAATTTGCTAATGTAATGCCCACTGAATCAAAAGGAATAATGTTAAATTAAAATTAAAAGCAATACCAAAAGATTAAGAGAAATTTTCTTTTGATTTTATAGTACTAACCTTAAAAAAATTCAAAGCCTAATTATTTAGAATTATATCTTCATTAAAATTCTCGAGAGTCATATTTCATAAGGTTTAAAAAGGTTAAAATTTGTTCCAAGTCTTCTTCTTACTTTAAAATAAAATACTATCACAACTACAAAATTGCAAATTAGTTAAATTTGACAAGAACATTTTTAAATAATCATTTAATTTGGTACCAATAGTTTTACATTCTTTTTTAAAATATTGTAATGCTATTTACAGATATACCATATCATAAGGATTACAGAAGAAATAATTGTAATTACTTGAAAATAACATTAATACTTAAATGTAATATTTTTTATATTTTCAATATTATAGCTAACCCTGAAGAGTATAACCATTTTAAATATTTAGTTGCTGAAAGGAACGTTTCTCTTCTAAAATATTGCCCTCATATAGAAAGTATATTTCTTTTGTATGATTAAGAAGCAATTTGAATTCCTTAGCTAAATCTCCAATAAATGCAACCGGATCTGCATCAACTTCATATGTCTTTAGCAAATGATCGAAAACTAAATTTATTGTGATAGTTTGATGTTATTAGTTTTCTAGTTAAGGTATTGATTATTTTTAACTTATCAACGAAAAACTCTAAAAAGATTCACTGCTTTATTAAATGATTTATTCGTATGATTCCGTTAATGAACTTTCATTACCACTTTTAAACAAACAACTTTCAAAAATACCTATTATAAATATTATATAAAACATAGCAACTCAAGTGAATTAGGCTCATTAACCTGCTATTATTAATGTAAATTTTCAGATTAGATTGATAGTTTTCCATTTAAAATCTAATTTATTAATTAGATATCTTATAGAATTTTTTCTCGTTATTATTTTAAAAATGTCCTTAAATCTCTTAATGGATCAAGAGATCTTTATAACTCTAAATTAATATTTCTTAACAATTCCTGTTGATTAAATAGCTCCATAAAATCACTTACCTAATTGTCACTTAAATTAACACTCCCTAATTAAAAAGAACTTTAAGATGTTTTTATAAAATTATCTAAAGACTATTTTTTCTGTCCCATTTCAACGATGGCTTGCCCTAATCTATCTTTTTCTTAATTGATGTCATTTAATATTTCCAATTATTATAATGATGTATGTTATATTGTTTCTAAGGATGAACCCAAATTTGCTATTTTGGTATCAAATTCATCAATTATTATAACATCTTTCTTTTGAAGATTTTCTTCATCGAAAAAGCATTTTGAGCACATTTTCATTTTACCTTCAGATCTAATATTCTTACGAATCAATGAAATAAATTAACCATCATGAAATGGACACGGTGTTTGCTATGAATTACTCATTAATTATTGTTTTAATAAATTATAGTTAACAATAAAAAGTGGATTTTAATGATGAATTATTTAGTTTATCTTGGTTTTTGCTTTAAGATACATTATTGATGGACTTATCAAGATCTTGTTTTTAGGAGTTGGCATTATCTTTTTGTTTTTTTAGTAAAGCTGATTAATTTTCTTCCTATTCCTCTTCAGGTACAAGACTCAAGCCTCTATCAACTTATTTGCTCCCAGGAGCTTATTAATCTATTTCATCCAATCTTGCCATGATTTAATCTTTCAAACCAGGTTTAAGATTTTCAATAGCATCAACCATGGTTCTGATTTCTACTCCAACAAATTGATATAAAGCTGCAATAACTTCAATACTTAACAGTCTAATTTCATTTGCCTAATGAAAAAGACAAGGAGTAGCTAGAATAAAGAAGATATCTTGATGATTAAATTATCTTTAATCATATCCAAACTCTTAAAGAACATTAGATACAATTTCTAATCTCGCTTATATAATTCTCGTTGGTTATTTATCAGGTGGAACAAATAAAGTAGGGAAATTTGGATCCATTACCATTTTATGAAGTAAAAAGACTGCCTGGCTCTGACATAACAACTTAATAAGTAAATCTCCTATTATTTTATGAGAAGGATGTAAATCTCAGAATTTACTAAATAGTTTATAAATTACAGCTTAAAATGAGCAATTAATTAAGAGATTTCAGCTTATAGTTAGTGGAAAGCATACATTAAGAAAAGATTCATAATAGAGCATAAACCAGTAGTTTAAAGCAAACATTTATAAAATTTAATAAAAAATTATTGAAAAGAGAGAGTTATTTCTTTCTAATCTTTAAAACATTATCCTTATTTCAAAAGTTTAAACTCAAATTGGTGATTTACTTTATAAAGTCTTAGAAAAATATCATCTCCCAAAACCACACCGGCAAGTTTGGTACTTTAAGACATTCTTAAAATCAATTATCCAAAAGCATTTATCATGAGGATAGAACTCCTCTGTTGGAGAGTAACTTATTATCAGATGATTGCATTATAGAGTAGAAACAGACGAAACCATTATTTTACTGTCAATTATGTTGAATTTTTCGAAGCTCTTATTGGATCAAATAAATTTCTTATGTTTGAATAAATATTGAGTATGAGTGAGATTAGCAGTTAGAGTTATAAAAAAGTTACTCATTTATTCCTGTCTCCGTATACCTCTTAATTTAATTCCATTAAATTTATATAATTAGTGATAACTTATTTTGATCACTCGTCTTCATTCTTTCCTAAAATTTTCATACTTGAATGTAATTCTATCCTTTTTCCTTCAAAAATCGAATGCTCTTTGTATGAGTTTTGAGTAAAATGAAGAGTTGGAGAGAATAATGTTGGAAAAATTGCCATTGGAGTCCAAACTATTTATAATAAGATCTTAGGATATAATTAATCTAAATTGATAAATTGATTAGTAAAGTAAGGAATTCTTAATTTATTGAAGCAAAGCATTTTAATTCACTGATTCAAGTAGTAATAATATCTAATTTTATAGTTTCATATTCTAAATTACATTAGTTTAAAATCTATTTTTGGATGAATTCTTTCATAAATTTATTTATTGTTTCCTCCTTTTTTAAATATTTGCCTAATATCTATTATTAAGAAGTAGTATAAAATTAGAATTAATTATCATTCTAATTAGACTAAAGTTAATCAATTATCTTCTGATCTTTCTAAAATATGTTAAATCGATAAAATTATTAAAATTATATACTCACTTCTAGAAGTTGAAAAAAATATATTAATTTCAACTTTTTTGAATAGATTCAATCTCTCTCCTAAATTTATAATCTCAGAACTTAATCAATAAATTTTGCACTTAATTATCTTCAGTTTGGGAAAGCTGAGTATTATATGTATGCCCACATATACTTCTTTCATTCTTGGCCCCTGAATTAGTCACATGTAAATTGAAAAATAGTTTATGATTTTTGTATTATATTTAAGTTGTTAGGTTTCATTAATTATTCCCACCCAATACCAATAGGATTCCTCATTCTTCTGCATCTTCAAGTTTCCATCGTGATCTACTTAATTCTTGATCATAAAGTTTGAGGAATTCTCAAGGATTTCATCAGGGGAATTAACAAGTAATTTTAAAATTGTTTAAAGAATTACTTTCTCAATCTAGCAATAGCTTGAGATAATGATTCATTATAGCATAGTGATAAAGTGCAACAAACAAAATTATTCAAAACATATCTTCTTTTTGCTAATTTCATAGTTGTGGAAGATTATCTTATTTACTAATTGTTCACATGATACTAAATATTCATTTAAATGTCATTTACAATTCCTAGATCTCTGTAACTTAAAACTACTGGAAATTTGCATATAGTTTAGCATATAATAGTATTTGGTTTTTTATGTATTAAGATTCTTTATTTTCCCAGTGATAGCAAATCCTCAGCATTTGCTAATAATTTGAATTAATTTTCAGTTTTATAATTAAGTCTTTAAGAAAACTCAACATTATAAATATTTTATTTGGCTAGTGAAATTAATGACTCTTTAGCAACTACATTTTTTGAAACAAATTTATTCTGAGTGAATAACCTTTAGATTCTCACCTTCTTTACCTTCAAAATTATTTTTATGTTAGTATTTTAAATAATCCCATCTATTAATAGAGTTTTAGGCACTTGTGAATATTAAGCAGTAGTTATCCTTTCTATTTATTTCGTTTATCCAATCAACCAATAGAAAAGTAGTATCATGACTCCTATTCATAAATCATCAAAGCTTGAATCAACCTTTTAGTGTTATTCCGCTAAAATGATTCATTAAGCATTGATAAACATAGCTATTTTCTTGCAAATTATACAAGTACTTTAATTCCAAATATTTATAATATTATTTTTTAATTCTTAACTTCTTAAAAACTTGTAAGATGTCCAAAGCTCATTTTTATACTAGTACTTCTTTTAATCATATACCAAATGGCTTCGATAATTTATAAAATCTCTAAAGGTTGTAGGTTGTAAGAATTTCTAATTAATTAATTACCCTCAATAGAATAATTTTTGTAATTATTATAAATAGTTAGTTTTCATGTTCAATGATAACTAACCTGGATGTTTATATTTTTCACAATAATTTATTAATAATTATGATAAGAAATATTGGATTATGAAAATAGTACAAAAAATACTTATGTAGACTTACATATACTTTATTTTGATAATTATATTCTTGATATTTTTAAATAAAGAACATATTAGAATTCTCTTAATTTGGCTTGCAGAATATTTCTAGATAAATTCTAAATATTTTTAAATACAGAGGCTTCAAATAATCTCAAAAATTATGTTTAGGACAATAATAATATTTTATGTTATATTTTCAATATTTTAACTAGCCCTAGAGGGTATAACCATTTTCAATTTTAAGCTATTTAAAGGAGCGCTCTTCTTCTAAAATTTAGTTCATGTACAAAAGTATTATTTCTTTTTGATGATTAAGAACAATTTTGAATTCCTGAGCTAATTCTCTTATAGTACTATATGGATTAATCTCAACCTCAAATGTTCTTGCCAAAGAATCATCGAAAACTAAATTTATTATGATAAGTTGATTATATTAACTTCCTGGTTAATTTTAGTAAATAAATTAGGGTAAAATCGAGGTTTAACTTGCCTACAAATTCTAAAGAGATTCATCGCTGTATTACTAAGAATTCTAATTTACCTATTCGAATGATTCCCCTTCTGGAAGTTCAATTCGACTATTTCCGGTTACATATATTTAAGAACCTATTATAATATATATAAAATACCATTATATATCTCAGTATGCTCTTCCTATTGTTAATTTTCTTATTAGATGGATTCTTCTTCATTTAGAATCTGATTTATTGATTAGATGTCTTGTAGAATTTTTTCACTTTATTATCTTAAACATGTTCTTAAATCTCTTAATGGATTGAGAGATCTTTATAATTCTAGATTTATATCGCATAACAATTCCTGTTGATTAAATAGTTACATATAATCACTTGTTTCTTTTTCACTTAAGCTAATGCTCTCTAATTACAAAGAACTTAAAGATGTTCGTATAAAATTATCTAAAGACTATTTTTTCTGTCTCATCTTACTGATGGCTTATCCTAATCTATCCTATTCTTATTGTATTTCAACTAATATTTCCAATTATTAGAATTATGTATGTTATATTGTTTCTAAAGATTATTATAATTTTGCTATCTCAGTTTCGAATTCATTAATGAAGATAACATCTTTCTCATGGATACTGCGATCATTAATTAGGCATTTCTGGCACATTTTTGTTCTACCATCATCTCTAGGAATTTTACGAATTGCTGTAATTTATTAATTTTTATGGTCTGGACAGAGTATTAACAATTAGTTAATCATCGATTATTTGTTGCAATATATTTAGTTAATAATAAATTTATTAAAAATGGAAATTATCATTTTTTGTTTAATTATGAATTATTTAGTTTATCTTGGTTTTTGCTTTAAGATACATTATTGATGGACTTATCAAGATCTTATTTTTAGGAGTTGGCATTATCTTTTTGTTTTTTTAGTAAAGCTGATTAATTTTCTTCCTATTCCTCTTCAGGTACAAGACTCAAGCCTCTATCAACTTATTTGCTCCCAGGAGCTTATTAATCTATTTCATCCAATCTTGCCATGATTTAATCTTTCAAACCAGGTTTAAGATTTTCAATAGCATCAACCATGGTTCTGATTTCTACTCCAACAAATTGATATAAAGCTGCAATAACTTCAATACTTAACAGTCTAATTTCATTTGCCTAATGAAAAAGACAAGGAGTAGCTAGAATAAAGAAGATATCTTGATGATTAAATTATCTTTAATCATATCCAAACTCTTAAAGAACATTAGATACAATTTCTAATCTCGCTTATATAATTCTCGTTGGTTATTTATCAGGTGGAACAAATAAAGTAGGGAAATTTGGATCCATTACCATTTTATGAAGTAAAAAGACTGCCTGGCTCTGACATAACAACTTAATAAGTAAATCTCCTATTATTTTATGAGAAGGATGTAAATCTCAGAATTTACTAAATAGTTTATAAATTACAGCTTAAAATGAGCAATTAATTAAGAGATTTCAGCTTATAGTTAGTGGAAAGCATACATTAAGAAAAGATTCATAATAGAGCATAAACCAGTAGTTTAAAGCAAACATTTATAAAATTTAATAAAAAATTATTGAAAAGAGAGAGTTATTTCTTTCTAATCTTTAAAACATTATCCTTATTTCNTATTATTAATGTAAATTTTCAGATTAGATTGATAGTTTTCCATTTAAAATCTAATTTATTAATTAGATATCTTATAGAATTTTTTCTCGTTATTATTTTAAAAATGTCCTTAAATCTCTTAATGGATCAAGAGATCTTTATAACTCTAAATTAATATTTCTTAACAATTCCTGTTGATTAAATAGCTCCATAAAATCACTTACCTAATTGTCACTTAAATTAACACTCCCTAATTAAAAAGAACTTTAAGATGTTTTTATAAAATTATCTAAAGACTATTTTTTCTGTCCCATTTCAACGATGGCTTGCCCTAATCTATCTTTTTCTTAATTGATGTCATTTAATATTTCCAATTATTATAATGATGTATGTTATATTGTTTCTAAGGATGAACCCAAATTTGCTATTTTGGTATCAAATTCATCAATTATTATAACATCTTTCTTTTGAAGATTTTCTTCATCGAAAAAGCATTTTGAGCACATTTTCATTTTACCTTCAGATCTAATATTCTTACGAATCAATGAAATAAATTAACCATCATGAAATGGACACGGTGTTTGCTATGAATTACTCATTAATTATTGTTTTAATAAATTATAGTTAACAATAAAAAGTGGATTTTAATGATGAATTATTTAGTTTATCTTGGTTTTTGCTTTAAGATACATTATTGATGGACTTATCAAGATCTTGTTTTTAGGAGTTGGCATTATCTTTTTGTTTTTTTAGTAAAGCTGATTAATTTTCTTCCTATTCCTCTTCAGGTACAAGACTCAAGCCTCTATCAACTTATTTGCTCCCAGGAGCTTATTAATCTATTTCATCCAATCTTGCCATGATTTAATCTTTCAAACCAGGTTTAAGATTTTCAATAGCATCAACCATGGTTCTGATTTCTACTCCAACAAATTGATATAAAGCTGCAATAACTTCAATACTTAACAGTCTAATTTCATTTGCCTAATGAAAAAGACAAGGAGTAGCTAGAATAAAGAAGATATCTTGATGATTAAATTATCTTTAATCATATCCAAACTCTTAAAGAACATTAGATACAATTTCTAATCTCGCTTATATAATTCTCGTTGGTTATTTATCAGGTGGAACAAATAAAGTAGGGAAATTTGGATCCATTACCATTTTATCAAAACAACATTAAACCTATATTATCATATACTTAATACAAGCATTCCAAGATTTGCAGCAGGATGTCTGTAGATACTTAGGAGAGTGTGTAAACTAATATCTCTGGCTCTGAAATTCAATTCACTTATTTTTTCTATAAGAATTGGAGTGAATTCTTTTAATACTTTATTAATAATTGCAGGTGATACATCAGTTCCACAAACTGGAGGTGCCAATGCAGTTGATAATATTTTTAATCCAATAAAATATATTGATAATATTTTATCTTCCATACAGATTTTAGCAAATTCCATCGCAGCAAGAAATAATTTCTTAGTTTTACCATTTTTATATTTATCTGGAAGTGGCATTTCTAAGAAATTCAATACTGCTTAAGCACAAGCTTCTCTAATTCTCCAACTATCACTATGAATCCCTGTCCAAGCCTTTGCCCCAAATACTGTTAAATATCCCAATTGATGTAATCTTCTTAATATTTCCAATGGAATATCGACCATCTTCTCTCCAGCTTATGCGAGTAAAGGATTAAGGTATAATTCTAAATCAACATCTCCTTCATTAAAAGCAAAAGGATTATTGAAATTTAAGAGAGGTTCATCATCTTCTTTCTTTTCTTTCTTCTTCTTCTTTTTAATGTTTCTATCATCTCCCCCTTTTTCCCACCATGGTGTTTTATCAATTTTGTTATCATAACTTTTACCTAATTAATTTTATTCATCCTATATCATTCTTCTTCTATTTTATTCCTCTAATTCTCTTTATCTCCTTAAAGCATCTGCATTCATTTATTCTTGCATTTCCAAATATTCCAAATGTCTCATATATTCTGCTGTTGTAGGTCTTTATAAATTAATCATTTTCTCATATCTACTAGTCTCATATAGTGCATCAAAGGTGTCTCTTTTAGCCTCTAATTTTTTTAATCTATTTCTCAATTCCATCGCTCTAAGATAATCCTCCTTTGCAACACAAAAACTTAACTCCCTTTTTAACTTCCAAATTTCCTTTCCTATTTCGAAAATTAACTTCATGTCTCTTTTCAATTCCTTCAGAAATTCAAAATCCTCAACTCTTCTTGCTGAATCTCTCTTTAACTTTAAATCATTTAATGTCTCTCTCGATTCATCATCGATTGGAGCATATTAATAATTTCTGTCATCATCTTCAAACCAGTTGATCATATCTACAGGTATACCCAAATCAATCAACATCTTATCTACTTTAGCTATCATTCTATACCAATATTGTCTTTCGCACCATAGACTTCCTCGCTCTAATCAACAATGTTATAACTCCTTGCAATTCCCCATATTTTTAACAGTGAAATTGAAACTTATCCATAAGGGTTTTAAGGAGCTCTCTTAGGATGTTCAATTATTTTTATCTTCAGGTAATTCCCGATTCCTGTTAATTTCACTTAAAGAGGTTTAACGTAAACATTCTCGCATTGCCCAGCCCTTCTATATTCAGCATCATTCCATCCACCATTTAATCCATCTCCTATATAAATGTTCATTTTTGGAATCCCTTTATCTGCTTTACTAGCTATCAATAAATGATCGAGTTAAATTCTGGTGTGAAATCTCAGGATTATCTCAACTGGATAGTCTGCAGTTCTGCTACATTCCCAACTTCTTTATTATCCATATTATTAAGTTGATAGGAAGTCTGCAGGTGTGTTGAAATCCTCGCTAGAACAAGCTACTACGTGAAATGGAACCCAAGTAAAATCGATTCTATTCATTTTAATAAGTGTATATTAATTATTAAGTAAATAAACAAATTTCAATTCAAAAACTCCTTTTATTTTCAAGGCTAAAATCAATATGAGGGTACTTAAAATCTAACTAGATAAATATATTACTAACCATGTGTATTAATTATTTTATCATTATTTCCTTATCTATATACAAATTAAATAATAATGACATAATATCATACCTTATACTCCTATTTTAAATTATTTTTCTTCAACATGTTAGGTATAATTATTAAAATTTAAACAAATGAATGTTATTATAAAAATTTGTTTAAATTCATAATAGGTTAAACTTATTTATTATAATTTAAATATAAACAATTACTCTTTATATGTATCTAAAATTTATAATATACTAAAATCATTTATTATTATTAACTTTATATACCATTATGCTTCATATTCTTGTAAATTCATCAAATATTTCTTCTAAAAAGCTATGCATTACTAAAAAATGCATCAAATGTAAAATAGGATTCAGTTCCAAATTTTAAATACTGGAAGTTATTAATCTATAATTAACCTAGTAACTAGTAGTGTTTGATATTTCAAATAACTTTCTGATCCCCAATTCATTTAGTAAACCAATAACCAGATTGACCACATAATTAGATGCATTTAATTATGTGATCTCATTAGCTAAAAAAATAGGATGATTTTAATTGATTGCAGGGTTATAGAAACGATAAGTTAGATTCAGAATTATTGAAAATGAATTTTACAAGTTAATTACATTTATCAAAATAAATTGAACTAAATTTTCATCAGAAACAAACTAAATCACTTATTTCAAAACGTAAATCAAAAACAAATAACAGAATTGTTGAAAAATATAAAATAAACTTTAGAATACTAATAATAACCAGCACTTATAAAATGTTTGTCACAATAGTAAAGGCTTGGCCTCTCTTGAATAATTAAAATACTTACTTCAGTATTCTTTATTTAAATTATGGGTAGATGTACTAGCAATTTCTACAATAACATCCATCTTAAGTGCAGAGATTTGAATGGATTATTATTATCATTTAAAACTCCCATCGATATGGAAGAAATTATTCTAAATAGCCATCTAAGTCAAATATTATTAAGAATATATATATTGTTGATATTATATTATATTTTGGTATTTGAATTTATAAAATATTGATAGAATACAAATTACTTATCAAAAAGTTAATAATTAATTACTGATTATTATTACTAAATATTTATAGACCGTTGATTCATCTTTGCAGAGTAAATTAAGACTAAGACTATGTGAATGTGCATCAAATATAATGCTCGCATTTTAAATTTTCTTGAATTTAAATAATAATAATATTTATTTCAATATCTCTTTTTATAAATTGCAAAATCTTACCTATTATTAACACTTTTTTAACAAATAAATACCAATATAATATCGAAAATTGTAAAAAGGTTTTGGTCTTATTATTTAAACTTATTTTTTTTATATTTTTAAATTTTGATGAGTCATTTTTGATTCTTAGTCTCCTCAAGGAAATATTATTCAAAATAGATAAAATCATTTTTTGCTTTAATATAAATATATAGATATTAAACCTAAATATGTCTAAAATTAAAAATATGGATTAGCTCATTAAATTAATTAAATATATAAATTCAAGACCTTGATTTTTAATCAGCCATTTCTTACTCTTTAACATCAAAACTTTCATTGTATGGAGCAGTTGAATCAACAATTTTTTTCTTCCATGCTAAAAAGGATAATTTGTGGCCCCATTTTTTGAAGCAGACATACATAAAAATAATGAGCCATACAATAATTACAAATAGAACATAAATTGCAATAGTGTAATATGCGTAAGTGTAATAGTTCCCAGGAATCTAAGTAATATTATTATATTTACCTCAGTAGTTGTAAATGTGAATGAATGGGTAATATTACAGAGTGTAAATTATTATTGCCAAACATCAGGTGTTTCTTCCTTTCCTTTACAGTTGGTTGAATTTAATAAGACAATATACTGATTGACTTCAGCATCCTCAAATTTACATTCTACAATAGGATGATTCATTTTTATTGTCATAAATTTGAACTCATATCTAGCAATACCAACTAACAAACGAATGTTCAGATTATTTTGTTCTTCATATGAATATTCTTTAAGTTTAAACAGATCTGGATCCTAGAAGGATGTGTGAGATAGGAGCTTTTCATCCAGAAAACCTAATCATTGATTTAAAGAGATACCTGAATAAATTGAATGTTGAACAATTTTGTGTCCATCATCTCCGATTAAGACTGCATAGTACTCGAATACGTTGACATCATTAATTGTCATTTCATCTATGTAGTAATTGTTGAAAAAGTAATCAGCATTTTAAAAATCCACAAAGACTTCAACTGCGAAATCTTGATTATTAACAGTTTTGGCTACAATAAAGAAAGTGCTTTCAAAATGATCAAAACTCTTAGTTTTAGAGATGGTAATAGTAAAAAGATGAGCAACTTATCCATTTTCCAGATTATAGATTTTATAAAATCGAAGTCCTGTTTCTTTGTCTAGAACATACAATCGATCATCTCCATTGGAATCAACATCAATTACTTATCCCTAGGGTATTCCCAATTGAATAGTTGTAATGGTGGACACAAATACGAGTTGATTATTTGAAATCTTATAGACATCCAATCCATCGTGACCACATGCAACATAAATCAATTTGTGTTTGACATTATAATGAACATTAAAAATGAAATCCTTCTATTTGACTTCTGTTTCTAATCTGAATTAAGAGAGTGCTAATTGAGTGTCAGTATTGAAACTTGCTCCACCATTAGAAGTGATAATATAGATTCTATTTTCACCCATGTCATCGATAAGGAAGGGATGATTAAAGTCCCCCTCTGGATCGTACTTCAACAAAGACGCAAATGATTATTATTGGCTATCCAAACTGATCCCAAAATACCCTTTGTCTAGATTGATGGAGAATATTTTAAAGTCATTCCTCACTACATAAATTCTAGAAGAACTTTCGGAGGTAGCAAGATCTGTGAAATAAACATCTCTTGTAACTCCTGTCTTGTCTAACCATAATTTTAATTAGTAAGAGATTTCTAAATTTTATTGAATGGCAAAACAACCATACTCACCTATAATATCCTCTTCTACTTTTTCAAAATCATCTAGATTGAAACTTTGACTTCCCATTTATCCATTGACTCGCTTATGCAAATCAACAGCGAAGACTCCAGGGTATCTAATAAAAATGAATCAATAATAAGTAATACGCTCCATATTGTATAGACAACTTTTCTTGAGCCTAACGATTGTAATTACCTGGTTCAATAGTTTCATTGATATATCTGGGTGAGGGTTACTTGATTTATTTGGCTTAGATGCTAAGAATAAGGAATATACACAATAACATGTATAAAATAATAATTAATCAATGTTTTTTATTTTAATAAAATTTGGTTATCTTTTGGACATTGGGGAGTTCACTAATGGATTCTTCATCCTCCTCTTTAATTTACTCGCATGGCAATATCTTTTTGAGATTGGTGCTGATCTAATCAGTGGTTTGTCCCTTCAATTGTTTACGAACAGTTGAGAATTCACTCGCCAATTCACTTTATCCATCATTAATGTCTTCAAAAGGTTTAATTTTACAATCGACTACACACCAATCAAAACAGTAAGGTCCTAATTTAATAAAGTCTTACTAGTTTTGCTGAATCCCTCTTTGCAGATCTCTTTCATTTTGGAATAATTTGGTTGTTCATCGAATCTCAACCCTTTGGAATGATCATAGATTTTCTTAAGAATGGGAGGAATATTTATTTCTAACTAACCTGAAGCGAATTTCTGTTTGGCCTCGAGGATCTTCAAGAACTTCTCTTGTCTGGTTTGACAATTGAAATTCTGCCAAGGCAATTGACCATTATAAAGATACAGAAGGACATAACACATGGCTTCCAAATCATCTCTTCTACTTTATTCGGCACCTAAATGGGAGTTAATACTGGTGTATCTGGCTGTGCCAACCATGCCTTTATTGTCTGCCTGTTAAATGTGAATGCCTTGATTATTGTATTTAAAAACCTTAGGCATCAACAAAGGGTTTGGCTAGTCCAAAATCAATCAAATAAACTGTGTGATGATCACCAAAACTACCTACCAAGAAATTTTCGGGTTTGATATCTCTATGCACATACTTCCTTTCATGAACAGCCTCAATTACAGAAATTAGACAATATGCCAATCTAATAATGCAGGTTTCAGAGAACTTCTCGTGAATTTATTTCTTTCTTAGTTCTTCGAGATTACCTAAAATAGTAATAGCATCCATACCAGAACCATAATAGGGCATTATGATTAATTTGTAATCTTACTGTTAAATTAATTGATAAGGCTGGGGCACTTGAGGGATTCCCTTCAACTATTAGAATGTGTTGTATTCCTTAACCAATAAGGATTGTTGATTTTATTGTCTCGTATCTTTGAACTCCACCTTGCATGCATGTAAAGTGCGAGTCAAAGTATTGTAAATCTTGTAAATTTCGCCGAAACTTCCTTGGCCTGCCTTCTCCACCAATTGATACTCAATTGGCAACTCAATCAATGGACTCACCACCTTCTTCACTGGATACTCACTCTAGAATCTAACTCTCGGTAAAGCTGACTACATATATTATTTATATAATTAATAATGTAATCATATAACCCAGCAGTCTCTCATAAAAGAAAAGAAAGAGACATTGCCAAACTCATGATGTCTAACTATCACGTGGAGCAATGTCCTCAAAACCCATATAATTTTAAAGTCAATATCAATGGGTAAAACTGCATCATTATAAAGCCCATCTGATTCCCTCTACGCCGGAGGAGTCTACACAATCAACGTTCTTCTCCCTGAATAGTACCCCTACAAATCCCCCAGCATTGGTTTCCTCACTAAAATATTCCACCCCAACATAGATGAAGCGTATTGATAACACTATACTTGTAGTTCTGGATCTGTCTGTCTTGATGTCATCAATCAAGCGTGGTCACCCATGTACGATCTCATGAATGTTTTCGAAGTCTTCCTCCCTTAATTACTCAACTACCCCAATCCTAGTGATCCTCTGAATCCAGATGCAGCCAGTCTTCTCATCAGAGATAAGCCTCGGTATTTCCCCTATCATCTACATCTAGATATGAGAAGAAAGTCAAAGATATGGTTCTTAAATATGCCACCAAACACAACCAGGAAGTTTAAAATATAGAAATTATAAAAGAATCAAAATAGGATGACGAAGACAACGTCTCCCTCATCTCCTTGGACAATGTGTCACAACTATCAGAACACTCCTATGGACATGCTGAAATTCAAAGTTTGTTTTGAATTCTAACCATTATAAATTTATTATTATTCATTTTTTATCCATAATCCCTCCATGGAATTTACACATTCTCATATACAATATATTTAAAATGCAAGAGGTTCTTTGTGTAATCATAATCTTTTTACTAATGAGTTGATGAATATATATCTGCAGAATTCATTATCCATCTTACAAATTCATCTTTGAATAGAATACCTTAAATATCAATAGTTTGTTTGTTTGTTCAATATTTTGAATTACTCTAATTTTACAAATATCAAAGGGTCAATCTGTTAATAAAATTCTATTTCTACATTAAATTTTAACATCATGATATTGTTTCAAATGATACTAAAGTATATGATGATCATTAACAATAAAGTATAATCCACAATATGAATCTCTAGAATAATTTATTTTTGATAATCAATGAAATTTAACTAAAATAGTTTTTAATTCTTAAGAATGTTTATATCATTATTTTTTTGTTGCAATTCAAAACTATTTGAATTCAGCTTAATTTTAGTTTAGTGTTAATCCACAAAATCAATTTTTATATTTCCAGCATATATATTAAATAAATATAGTTTAATATAATTTTCATATCCATTTTAAATATCTTTAAACTTATTATTATTGGTTCTGAATGAAATCAATAAGAATAGGAAATCTAAATTTTTTTTGTATAAATTCTATAAAATAATTAGTTTACTATGCATATCCATCACTAATTCTGTTAAGTTAGTTGATAAATGCACATTTGGGTAATATTTAAAAATATACTCTAAAAATAAAATTTAATGGATTGATTATAAAATAGATCATAAAATTTTTATAAAGTCATTTATAAATGTATAAAACAATTTAGAAATTAGGAGATGGGGTTTTTGGGAGTGTAACAAAGGCTCTTGATGAACGAACCTAAGAGTTTGTAGCCATAAAGTCTTATAGAGATAATAAAGTTCGAGATGAAAGTAAAATAAAGGAGATCCAAATATTAAAAAAGTTAAACCACCCCAACATTATTAAATTGAGAAATGTGATAAAATAAAACAAAACTATAGCGATAGTGCTTGATTATTCTGAGAGAAACCTATTGCAATACTATAAATCAGTCAAGGAGAAAAATAGAACTCTATGCGAATAACAAATTTAAAGCATTGTTTATCAAATAGCAAGTGCTTTAAACTATTTACACACTTAAGGTTATTTACACAGGTAACAGAATAGTTATTGATTGAATAGAGACTTGAAACCTGAAAACATTATGATACAGGATAATGGAGTAGTGAAATTAATAGATTTTGGACAAGTCACATATCAAAATGAACAGCATACCGATTATGTATCAACAAGGTGGTATAGAGTATTATATAAAAATGATTATTTAAGTCGCCAGAACAAATCAAGCAATAATCCTACAATCAGGAGATCGACATATGGTCCTTCGGCTGCATTATTGCAGAACTCTACTTACTTACTCCATTACTACCTGGGACGACTGAGATTGACCAGCTGTTTTAAATCTAGAATTTGAACCTGAATCAATATGCCAACATAATTCCACCTCAACCTTTGAGACTGATAAAGAGTATGTTGCAGGAGGACCCACATCAAAGAGTGACTGCAATAGAGATTTTGCAGAACAATTGGTTGTCACATCCATTTAAGTTCTTACCTAAAGAATTGGATGTATAGGATGACTCGAAGTATTTGATTAGTCCTGCCTAAACACCAGTGAAAGTGCAGAAATACTTGGAGAAACAGGAGAACAATTAAAATGCATTGAATCATCATTCTGCTGGGATGTTCAACTTTGTGCAACCGATGTAAAACAATAGTAATGTGGATGAGGATTTAGATTGTGGGTACATTCCTTCTTATGCCACATCTCTTCAGGGGACTCAGAAAAAGAGAGTAATACCTCAATAAGCCTAATTGACTAATGAATAGTAGACCCAAGAGGCTCGAATGGAATTGGAACCGCAATTGTTGTATGTGAAGACCACCATTAATTAGCAATAACAAAATAGATTGAATAAAAACTTCTTTTCGAAACCGTATTAATTTGGTTAATTGTAGATTGCTGAACACACAAAGGAAAAACAATAATTAGACTGAAATATATTGAAAATATTAAGGATTTAGTAAATCATGATTTTATAGCCAAATGCTTTTTAAGTATAACTACAATGTCATCAGTAATCAGAGCTTCTTTACTAAATTTCAATGGTTTAGTGAATTCAACTGGCCAGAAGGAACTGCAAGCTTTATCGGATTCCAAGAGTCCACATTTCTTATAGGCCTTGGCTACTAATTCTGAGCAAAAGTAAGTGTCATTTTTCTTGGAAGGACTTTAACTCTTTTATCTGAATAGTTTGCTCAGTGTCACTTCATATTTCTTCCCGTGAACTTGTTGCAAAAATTCAATCATTTTTTTTTCAATATCAGCTCTATTGACATTCATCAATTTACGAATAGCCAACCTAAAATATAAATTTGGTCTTACTTTTCATATAAATCATTGACTTCTATGAATTATGACCATTCTAAAAATGTAACTCCAGTGTCAGCATTGGCATCAAAAACGAATAGATATTTGTTAGCCATTTTGATAGCAATGGCAACATGATCATATTTTGTATTTGTGAATATTCTCTACAATTTGGCCCCTGTATTATTGGTTTCAAAAAGTAAAAGATCCCCTGATTCAACGATCTTCAAAAAGCTGTCTTCAGAAATCACTTCGACCCCCAAATATCTAGGTACTTCTAACAATTGCACTCTATTTTTGGGGTAGTTCCTATGTTTGTCAAACACAATGTTCAAACTATTGACCCACATCTTGGCTTCAACGACATCCTTAGCTTAATATAGGGTAATTTATTTGAGATGAGTGAAAGTGATCTTGATCAACTGCCTCTCCTATTCAACGACGAACTCGAATTCCTTTAATGACAACACTCTTATGAGTTATTGTTTTTATTCGTCATTGTACTCCTTAATCGATTGCCTCGTTAACTGGACATACACTCTTTTACTCTAATATAGCCACCCCTCTTTCACTGTTTGATTACCATCCAAATAGATCTCAAAATCGTCGACATTGTTCCTCTCTATGCAACGAATCTAGGGATAATTTTGATAAATCTACAGGGGAAGTTAAAATTATGCTTTATTGGGATTTCTGAGATTTTCGTTTCAATCTCTCGGGAGAACATTCTGATCTAAAATAGCAATCAATTAAAGGGTTTTGCTGATTTTAAACTGAGATGGATCTTAATCGTTACTCTAACATCTATTTCTATTTATATATATATGTTTAAAATATTAAATCACAAAATATAATTATTCACCACTCTTTCTTCTTTTCCTTGTATTAATCGATCTTCTTTTACATTCCTTAGTAAGACTCAGATTATAAGTTTTCTCCCTAGACGGCCATTTCAATATAGTATTATTACAAGTGAATAATGCTCTATTGGAATACATCAATCAAATACCTGGATTAGTTACTCTCTGCACATCTCACCTTCTTGAATAAGAGCCTGCAAGTCCTAATTTGATGTTGTCTTCTCGTCGAACTTATCATAATTGCAATTGAATTCTAAAGTCTTGCTATCAATATCTGCTAACTATTGAAGATGCTTATATATTTTGTGTGATTGTTCGATTTACTATTATTATAAACTAATTTCCATACTTAAACTGTTTAAATATTGTGTTATAATACTTTATTTGCCGATGCATCTGTCTAGTTTAAGGCATTAAAGGTTTCCTATTGTTATTTTAATTGATCATATTTTGGTTAAAGAATGGATCTCAACTTTTGGATAAATTGAGGATGGAAGATTTGATCTCTTTCCCACCTCTTTATCATTGTGTAAGCACTCTCCAAATCCTTAATGTCATCCACTATACAAAAATCTCCCAGTAGTTTTTTGAGTTTTCCACCAAATGCTTTGAGAAAGGGATTTTCTTACCTCTTTTTTTAGCTCTCATCTAAAATAATTTGATGGATTAAAAATAAAAATATTCTTTTCTTATCCTTCCTTGTCTAAGTGAATTCATTTTCAATCATCGAAGCAATTTATTAAGCACTCTCAGGATAAAATGAACAATAATTAGCAGTCTCTTTAAGTAAAGAATTAAAATACTTATAATTTAATCTTTAGCTTCTGTCAATTACTAGAGTAAACATTCTAATTAGTTCAAGTCCATTAGATAATTTATTATTTTTATAATAACTAAATTTTAAGTATGAAAGAAACTCATTACTCTTAATGTTTGTTCAGAGTTTCCAAAGCACTTTTAATATGCTTCTACAATGAATCAATCTAAGTCTTCTGCAATGCAAAGGCTACATAGAATTAATCTATTCTTACTTCTAGCAAAATTCTTCACTACTTATTATAAATCGTCATTTTTTCGAACTCCCAGTCTCCCTATCTTATTTTTCGATATGCGAACATCTAGAAATAATATCGGTTCTTCATTTTCCTCTCTTTCAGACAACTTGAATTCCTTGATTTCCTTGTTATTATTCACCTTCTCCAATTGGGATTACTTAATTTCAAAATATTTCTCTTTGTATTCCTTATCATTTTACGCTTTCTACATTCTTTTGATTGTATTTTCAAACCCAGGAATCTGATCCATCTTCTAATCACTTTTTATTAGCGTGCTCTTTATTTCAGGCTTAAAGGTGCACTCCTTATCCAAAACATCTCTATTGACAACCTATTATTATTGTTTGGTTTGCAAGGCTTTGGAATCATTGAATAATCTTTAAAACACTTAATCTCCTCCTGCTTTCTTAACATTCTTCTAAAAAGATAGCATCTCGTCATTCTCCTATTTCAATTTGAGTAGTTATCCATGACGAGCTTTTTCTTGCAGTTGTTTAGAATGATTGTAAAGCATTTCACTCCTTTAAATACCTTTGGAAGATGCAGAGCTTTTGGTGGGAGTGTATGATTTGTAAGCCTAAAGTTTGGAGAAACTATCAAAGGGTTTCTCTTTGATTTTGGACTCTCTCAAGATGAAAGCAGGATGAGGATTGTTGAGAATTTACGAGCGAAGCATTTTGATAACCTTCTCGAATTAAGGTAACCTATTTTCAAATAGTAATCGATCCAAATGCGCCAATGATCTATAGTTTATCACTTTTTCTAAGTCTTAGGCTACTTGATCATCGAATTTCTCAACACATGAAAAGATCTAACCTAAGATCTTGGCCATGCGATCGTAAGGAATTACTTACTATTGGAACCAAGTTTCTTCAGTCTTAGATTAAAATTGGATTAGACTTACATATGCCAACATCAAACAGAAATTCCAAAACTTGGAATCCACAAATATGTATAGTTAATTCATCATCTGACTCAGATCTTGTTCTGAATAGGGTTTGACATCTACAAAGGAAGAGAAAGTCTCTTTATCCACAATGATGTCGTATTCTATTTATTCTGGAAATTGTATAATTTGATTATACCTTTGATAAGAATGAAAGAGTGCTAAAATTAAACATTTACAATCATACATTATTCTCATTTCTCTTTCTATCTGAGAATTACGGAGTATCTGGTCTCTCGGTTATCTCTTTCAGGTATTATTTCTTGCCGCTTTCGAAATCATTTATGAGGTTGATTTTCTTTTTTATAAGCTATTCATAATTGCTATTCTGTTACATATTAATAATTATGATTATGGATGATAAAATCTAAAGAATTTTACAAATGAATGACTTCTAACGTTCCTCCGACATTCGCAAAATCTCTTAATCCCAAGTGACAGAAAACACGAATAAGACTTATTCTATCACGGTTACTAATCAATCCAAACCCAAAAGGAGGAAGGTTGTCAAATTAAAGAATCATCTCCTCTAATCACATGTAAGTCCAGATATTTAAAAACTATATTATTAAACCAAAAAGAATGAAGACTCCACTCAACATAATCAAACCGAATAAACAAAATCAATTAATTTACCCTCAATTTCTGATCAATCAACTAAAAGCAATCTGAATGATTTTATCGCTCTTGTTCTGGAAGTATTCCCTCCTGATCATCAACTATGGATGGATCTGTAAATTAAGGATTAACCCTTGGAAGAAGTTATTGCTCAAAATCAAAATTATTTCTCTGATCTACTAAGTAATTGTACTCACTTATTCCTAGTGCTCTACATCCAAGAGATGGAAATTCGCCAACTCAAGGATAAAAAACTAGGATACAAAGGGAAATACACTACTTAATATAGTGAAGATTTCAGCGATAAAATAAATAAAGACAATACATCAATTAATAGATGGATTTATGATCGAATCAAATAATCAAACACATTTCTGTAAAACATTAGTACTTACAATGTAAAAATATAGAATTATATACAGCAACATTACATTCCAAAACGTTACGATAAGATTGGCAACTTCAAACCAGACCATAAACCTAACTTAAATGAAATATCTTGTCTCTCCTCTTATGTTGTCAATTATAGAGACTGGAAGAAACAATATCATGGTCTCATAGGTCCCATTAATGCTTCTAGCGAGAAGAAATTGCCATTCGTAGCTGAAACCAATTACACTCGAAATTTCGTCACTTAAAAATATGAAAAACAAGATCCTATCATCCCCAAATAATTGTACTCTATATCTCACTATCTCTAGAGGTCCATTCCCAAATCAACCAAAAACCCTGATTCGAGATACTACACACAAATCCTAATTTTGTTTACCCCAATAAGATAATGCATCCACTTAAAATTTGGTTTATAGTCAAAGAACAAATCACATCAAAAGCTTTGATGGGTATTAACCACACTACAATAAATAATCTACAATTTCAAATCAGAGTGAGGACTTTGCTGATCGTTTCTATCACTCTTCAATTGTCTAAAAATTAATGAAAAAAAGTTAGAAATAATAAAATAATTGATATAATTCAAAGTATATTTTATGATATGTCACTACTATTAAAGCAATTTATAGTGGAGAAGATCTTTTTATATTTACATTAGTTAATTTAATGAATTTTCATTTCTAGAATAGTAACTGTTTAAACGATCCAATTCTTATTCAAAATTAGTCATTTTCGGTCTAATCTTATAAGGGTAGTATAATGCAACTCGTTCCCACTCCTCCTCCTCAAGACGAGCACAATTTGATTGATTAAATTTAAATGTTGAGATATTCATTAGTATTTAATGTTCTATTTCAGGATTAATCTTTTTTAGTTCTTATTATATTTATTTAAGGTCCATTTGCATCTATTTTGAGGATGGCAAACTATTGTTTCTTTCACTTTATTGTTTAAAATATTAAATACATCGATTTTGTTTATTGAACTGCACTTAATTGTTATTTTCTTCTTGTCTGATTAAGTTCCCCCAACATTCGTTTCGCTTTTTCACTCTTCAAAGAATCCAATTTATACAATTTTACAAGTGTTTTCTCATAGTTTACTTAATTCTTCTCCAAATACGCTCGAATTTTATTGTCCACTTTATCAAACAATTAATTATCATATGTAAGATCTTTGATTTTGTGGCTGATGCTTCTCTTTTCCCTGTTACTCAATCTATTCCCTTTCTGAGGAGATATTGTATTCTCAACTACATCAATAGTATTGGATGAATTTATTGGAGTCACACTCTTCATTATAAAAAATTAATATTTTTTTTGTATTAAGAAATAAACAATATTTAAACTGAAACCACGCAAGAGAGTTTATTATTACATTGATATGTTTTTATCTTCACTTCTTATTTACAATATTTGTAAAGAATAACAAAAGTGTGTCTTTATCAATATGAATAATTTAAAATAAAAATTATCATATAAATTTATATTGTTATATTTTATAAATATTTGTCTATTCTCTATTCATTTTAACCAAAACAATATTTGCAATAAACTTAAGATTATTAAATAATTGATCTGTCAATAACCTGAATAATGAGGAGTTAAGTACGATTAATGATATAATAATAATTTATTAGGTCATTAGAATTATATTTCCTTGTTATATACTTAAAGCTAATTACCCTGAATTAAGATTTAGAGAGAACTTAAATGAGGCATAAAATTAACAATTTGAAAATTTTCTCAGTTAATTAGGAGGGTTTTCAAAGATTAATATTTCTAACTTTAGATATTCCTGCATTAAAAAAACCCAATTAGGTATGTTTTAGAATTTTGTTTTCGGTTAAATCAGAAAAAAAGTCATAAATGGAGTTGGAGTATAAAATATTTCAAAAGACCACATTTGTATATAATTAATTTTAAAATAACTTTAATAAAATTGAATTTAAAATATATATACATAATAGATTTGACACTTTAAATAAATATTTAAAATATAATACAAATATAATATTGAAATTAGTATTATTAATGATTAGCTCTCGTTATTAGTTGTTACTATCAATATCCTAATATTGATACCCCTGCATTTTGATATTTAAATTTTTAACAAGTAACTTAAATTAACAACAATTAATTAAGTATCAATTTAGCTCTAATTAAGATCATTCATTTGAGATTATTTACAAGCATTCAGATGGAAAAATAAAAAAAAGTTAATTAGAAAAAATATGGTTTTAATGAATATATACGATTTTTTGCAAAAATTAAAAGGAATTTTAAAGTAAAAATGTTGCTGCAATTTTCTTATATAATAAGCACTTTTCAAATATTTTCGTAATGGAATTGCTCATACAAACAATTTTGTATGTTATGCCCTATATATTCATTAGCGATGAGGACTTAACTAAAATTCATAAATATATATAGAGAATATAAAAATTCTTAAAGTTTAGAAATGATAACAGAAATCAATTAAAAGTTCAATTTTAATAATAATTATTATAATAATTATATTTATCAAATAATTAATAATTAATTGAATTGTCCATCATAGATTTAAACAACCAGATAATTGGTGTTTTAATGTTGATAAAGGAATAAGTATAAACCATATTCAGGCCACATTATTTTATTAAAAATCAAATCATTATATATTAATTATTATAATATATATTTATACTATTTTTAAGAATATAAGATTTTCTTATAAATTGTTGAACAAATTTATCTTAATTTATGCGCTCTTGAATTAATGATGATGAAAACTTTAATTAGTTAATAAGTTAACTAGTTTTCCATTCACTAGCAATTCTAATACTGAAATTTTAAGGAAACTAAGCGACTACTTTTGAATAGCGGATTAATGAACTACGAAATACTGCATTCAAACGAATAAAGAATGATTGAGAAAATAATTATTATATTCTGAAAATTCTAGACTAAACAACACACTTAATTTAATATTAGGCTTTAAATAGATTAGGAAAGTTTGAATTTTTAAAATCATATTAATAAATAAGAAATGATTCTTTCATTGAATTTTGTATCGATCATCATGGGAGTCTTTGGGTGGAGAGAATACTACCGTGAGTACTCTAATATTTATGGATATTAATCTGAAAAATGCCCAGATTTGCATGTTTAAAAGGCTAGTCTGCATCCATACTAGTGCGTCTGTAATTTTAAAGGTGTAATTTTAGCTTATGCTGTCATTTGTAAGGATGTGGCAGATGTAGTTGTAAAAACGGAATTGAATGGGACTCAACATTTATGCCATCCCAGATTCCAACCCTGGGGAGCTGGGACTCCAACAAGGGATAATACTACACTTCATTGTGGATTTGTTGACGGTGATCAGTTAGTGATGGAGATGCTATCAGATGGAAATTACAAATATTATTGCAAATGTATGTATCTGTTAGTATTAGATTAGCATTGACAGATGAAAAAAATAGTCGATGCTTGATAACTGCCTATTAATAAGGCGTTTATAGTTGCCAATTTTGCAAGCCTCCTTACTTTGGACTAGATTGTAAAAATGTTCTTCGGTATTTTGATTAACGTTATACAAATCCACTCCGACGTATAAATCATATTTATTTAAGCATGCTTCGGAAATTGTTTGGAATGTGATGAAGGTAGTTAAACTTGTACTAAATGCGTTCTCGGAATGGATAACATAGATTCTAACGATAGAACATGTTCACTAGGTATATCATAGTTTTAACTTTTATAGATTGTTTAGGATTTACAAGTTGCTCTATAGTTTCTTTAACATTTCAGAATAGTACTATTTGCAGGCAGGGCACTACGCTCAGAGGAGACCGTTGTGTTTGTATATTTTCAATAATAGTTTATAGAATGTCCGACTGGTTGTTTAGCTTGTACTTAAGATACTCAGGATATGTTTAAATAGAAGTGTGATACCTGTGATCCTAATTATATTCGACAATTAGTGAGCAGCACCGATCCTAATATGTACTCTTGCTATCGATTATTGAATTGTCTTAGTATAAGATAATAATTGATGAGTCAAACAATATCATCTAGTGGAGAGTATGTGTATAATATACGATGCACAATATGCGATCCAGGATTTATTTATGATACTACTAGCTAAACATGCATATGTAATAATTAATAAAAATATATCTTTAGGGACCGCATTTAAGAAAGAAGCCTGCTTCCTTTTAGATCTTTAAGGGATTAATTGTGTCTCCTGTTATCCGTGGTTTGGTTTGCAATCTGATGGCTCATGCAAACAAATGAGTTGCAATCCTAATTGTTATACATGTTCGGATAAAAATCCAGATATTTGTATTACTTGTGATGGCTTTAATAATAAAATACTTTCTAATGATATTTGCATATGTAAGCCGAATTATGGTCTTAAAATTGATGAGTGTGTAAAGTGTTCTGAGGGTTATTGTTCAGATTGNATACTACCGTGAGTACTCTAATATTTATGGATATTAATCTGAAAAATGCCCAGATTTGCATGTTTAAAAGGCTAGTCTGCATCCATACTAGTGCGTCTGTAATTTTAAAGGTGTAATTTTAGCTTATGCTGTCATTTGTAAGGATGTGGCAGATGTAGTTGTAAAAACGGAATTGAATGGGACTCAACATTTATGCCATCCCAGATTCCAACCCTGGGGAGCTGGGACTCCAACAAGGGATAATACTACACTTCATTGTGGATTTGTTGACGGTGATCAGTTAGTGATGGAGATGCTATCAGATGGAAATTACAAATATTATTGCAAATGTATGTATCTGTTAGTATTAGATTAGCATTGACAGATGAAAAAAATAGTCGATGCTTGATAACTGCCTATTAATAAGGCGTTTATAGTTGCCAATTTTGCAAGCCTCCTTACTTTGGACTAGATTGTAAAAATGTTCTTCGGTATTTTGATTAACGTTATACAAATCCACTCCGACGTATAAATCATATTTATTTAAGCATGCTTCGGAAATTGTTTGGAATGTGATGAAGGTAGTTAAACTTGTACTAAATGCGTTCTCGGAATGGATAACATAGATTCTAACGATAGAACATGTTCACTAGGTATATCATAGTTTTAACTTTTATAGATTGTTTAGGATTTACAAGTTGCTCTATAGTTTCTTTAACATTTCAGAATAGTACTATTTGCAGGCAGGGCACTACGCTCAGAGGAGACCGTTGTGTTTGTATATTTTCAATAATAGTTTATAGAATGTCCGACTGGTTGTTTAGCTTGTACTTAAGATACTCAGGATATGTTTAAATAGAAGTGTGATACCTGTGATCCTAATTATATTCGACAATTAGTGAGCAGCACCGATCCTAATATGTACTCTTGCTATCGATTATTGAATTGTCTTAGTATAAGATAATAATTGATGAGTCAAACAATATCATCTAGTGGAGAGTATGTGTATAATATACGATGCACAATATGCGATCCAGGATTTATTTATGATACTACTAGCTAAACATGCATATGTAATAATTAATAAAAATATATCTTTAGGGACCGCATTTAAGAAAGAAGCCTGCTTCCTTTTAGATCTTTAAGGGATTAATTGTGTCTCCTGTTATCCGTGGTTTGGTTTGCAATCTGATGGCTCATGCAAACAAATGAGTTGCAATCCTAATTGTTATACATGTTCGGATAAAAATCCAGATATTTGTATTACTTGTGATGGCTTTAATAATAAAATACTTTCTAATGATATTTGCATATGTAAGCCGAATTATGGTCTTAAAATTGATGAGTGTGTAAAGTGTTCTGAGGGTTATTGTTCAGATTGTGAATCAGGCAATTTTTTTTCATGTACCTCATGTGCACCTGAAACAAATAGAATATTAGTTGATCAATAATGCATTTGCAAACCTGGTTCATGTGAACCTGGAGATGGAAGTGTGACATGTATTGGTAAATATACTGAATAATAATTAAGTATGCGATACATCATGTGTAAATTGTTCTGGTCCAACAAGTAATGATTGTACCTTATGTCCAGATGAAATCACTTCAAATAGAATTCAGGTTGGTAATTCTTGTCCTTGTAAACCAGGTTATGCTGATTATGAAGTCAAAAATGCTAAATGTGGAAGTATTTATAATTTTCTATTAAGAATGCCATCCAAGATGTAAATCATGTTTCTAAGCAGCTGATGAAACTTCAAATTAATATTGTCTAACTTGCATTCCTGGATAAAATAGAGTTCTTTCAGATAATCTCAATTGTGATTGCAAAGAAAATTATGGTGATTTTGATGGCACTTCAGATATTTGTCTTAGTATTTTTATAAATTATATTTAGTCTGTGATTATACTTGTGGAGTATGTAATGATTTTGGTCCCACTCATTGCACCTCATGTTTAGAAAGCTCAAATAGATATTTAACAGCTTCAGGAGAATGCTAATGTAAAACATCATATTTTGATGATCAAACAGAAAACATAGAATGTTAAAGTATTAATAAATATTAATCCTAGAATGTCATTATTCATGTTTAAGATGTGCCAATACCATCGAAGAAAATGCATGTGTAGAATGTCCTGCAACTAGAAAGCCTAGTGATCCATTAGCCACTTAATTTCAATGTGTTTGTGAATTTTCAAACTACTTTGATGATGGATTATCACCAACCTGTCTATAATGTGATAGTTCCTGTCTAACCTGCTATGGTCCTCTTTCAGCTAACTGCCTAACTTGTGATCCAACATATAGAGAATTTGATTTATCATAATGTCTATGTCCACCAGGATATTTTGATGTTGGATAATTAGAATGTGCAAGTAAATCGATATTAAACATTATAAGAATGTCACTATTCTTGTTTTTAATGCTTTGATAATACAGCTGAAGGTTGTGTAAATTGTTCAATTGATTTTCATCTTAGAGTGTTAAAAGGAAATACTTGCAAATGCATAGATGGATATTATGATGAACCAGGAACATCTAAATGCTAAAGTAATTATGAAGATATTTGTATAATAGAATGCTCATATAAATGCGAAACTTGTTAAGATTAAGCTGAAAAATGTTTGAGTTGTCCTTTAAATTCATTGCGTACTTTTGATTCCACTTTGGGTTGCCCTTGTCCAGGAGAGTATTATGATTAAGTAAATGTGATTACATGTTAAAGTAACATAAAAATATATTAGAGAATGCCATTTCAAATGCAAAACTTGTAATGCCTAAACAGAAAGCTCATGTCTCTCATGTGATCCATTATCATATAGAGAAATTAAGCTTTAATAATGTAAATGCTAACCACATTATTTTGAAATGGAAGTTTAGGAATGCACGAGTAATTATTAAACCCAAATTTAGTTTGTAGTGCCCTCTGTTACGAATGTGTTGGCAATTTTGAAAATTGTACATCATGCTCTGATGATAGATATCTAGTTGGAAATAAATGTTTATGTGCTTCTAAGTTTTAAGGAGCTTCAATAAGTACATTTGAATTTAATGGTATGGTCAAATGCTAAAGTATATCTTCATATAAATGTTAGAGTGCCACTATTCTTGTGCAACATGTGGAGGAGTAGAGGAAAAGGATTGCATAACTTGTATTGACACAGATAATAGGTACTAAGTAGGTAATACTTGTGTCTGTAAAGAAGGATATTATGATGCAGGATTGCCTGTTTGTTAAAGTATTTATCGATTGTTATCAATAGAATNTGCAAAGAAAATTATGGTGATTTTGATGGCACTTCAGATATTTGTCTTAGTATTTTTATAAATTATATTTAGTCTGTGATTATACTTGTGGAGTATGTAATGATTTTGGTCCCACTCATTGCACCTCATGTTTAGAAAGCTCAAATAGATATTTAACAGCTTCAGGAGAATGCTAATGTAAAACATCATATTTTGATGATCAAACAGAAAACATAGAATGTTAAAGTATTAATAAATATTAATCCTAGAATGTCATTATTCATGTTTAAGATGTGCCAATACCATCGAAGAAAATGCATGTGTAGAATGTCCTGCAACTAGAAAGCCTAGTGATCCATTAGCCACTTAATTTCAATGTGTTTGTGAATTTTCAAACTACTTTGATGATGGATTATCACCAACCTGTCTATAATGTGATAGTTCCTGTCTAACCTGCTATGGTCCTCTTTCAGCTAACTGCCTAACTTGTGATCCAACATATAGAGAATTTGATTTATCATAATGTCTATGTCCACCAGGATATTTTGATGTTGGATAATTAGAATGTGCAAGTAAATCGATATTAAACATTATAAGAATGTCACTATTCTTGTTTTTAATGCTTTGATAATACAGCTGAAGGTTGTGTAAATTGTTCAATTGATTTTCATCTTAGAGTGTTAAAAGGAAATACTTGCAAATGCATAGATGGATATTATGATGAACCAGGAACATCTAAATGCTAAAGTAATTATGAAGATATTTGTATAATAGAATGCTCATATAAATGCGAAACTTGTTAAGATTAAGCTGAAAAATGTTTGAGTTGTCCTTTAAATTCATTGCGTACTTTTGATTCCACTTTGGGTTGCCCTTGTCCAGGAGAGTATTATGATTAAGTAAATGTGATTACATGTTAAAGTAACATAAAAATATATTAGAGAATGCCATTTCAAATGCAAAACTTGTAATGCCTAAACAGAAAGCTCATGTCTCTCATGTGATCCATTATCATATAGAGAAATTAAGCTTTAATAATGTAAATGCTAACCACATTATTTTGAAATGGAAGTTTAGGAATGCACGAGTAATTATTAAACCCAAATTTAGTTTGTAGTGCCCTCTGTTACGAATGTGTTGGCAATTTTGAAAATTGTACATCATGCTCTGATGATAGATATCTAGTTGGAAATAAATGTTTATGTGCTTCTAAGTTTTAAGGGGCTTCAATAAGTACATTTGGATTTAATGGTTTGGTTAAATGCTAAAGTATATCTTCATATAAATGTTAGAGTGCCATTATTCTTGTGCAACTTGTGGAGGAGTAGAAGAAACAGATTGTATATCTTGTATTGACACAGATAATAGGTATTAAGTAGGTAATACTTGTGTTTGTAAAGAAGGATATTATGATGCAGGATTGCCTGTTTGTTAAAGTATTTATCAATTGTTATCAATAGAATGCAGTTACAAATGTAAAGGATGCTCAAAATAATCTGAATATTGTACTTCTTGTTAAGATAACAGTTTAAGATAATTAGTTTCGGATTTCAAAACATGCAAATGCATTTAAAAGTATTACGATGATGGATAACATGAAGTTTGCTAATGTATATATTTTAAATATGATTAATTAGAATGCCATTACTCATGCCTTAGATGTAATGACATTGATACAAAATGTGAATTATGCTCATTTGAATCAAATAGAATTTACAATGATCAACTATTTTCTTGTGATTGCAACGTTGGTTACTATAATAGTGGAGTTGAAATCTGTTAAAAATGTCATTATTCCTGTTTAAATTGTAATTCTGGAGATTCTAATTCATGTATTTAATGTGTTGATTCTAACATTTCAAATAGAGTATTTTATAATAACACTTGTAAATGTTTATTTGGATATTTTGACAACGGTTAATCAATTAAGTGTTAAAAGTGTGATGTTCAATGTTTAACTTGTATTAATCAATCTTATTAATGTTTATCATGTCCATAAACAAGAAAATTAGAAACTAATTGTAAATGTTAATAAGGATATTATGATATTGGATAACAACTTTGTTTAAAATGTAATTCTATTTGTTCTGCATGTGAATTTACACCTAATAATTGCACTTAATGTGATTCTGATTAATTTAGAGAACTTAATGATATTACTAAAACTTGTGATTGTTAAACTGGTTATCTTGAACTTAATGGAATTTGTTAATAATGTGATCAAAGTTGTAAAACATGTTCATAATAATTGAATTACTGTACATCTTGTGTATAGTTTCGAAAATTAAATAGCAATAATTGTATTTGTGTTGATGGCATGTATGAATCAATTTAAGATAAATAATGTAAATTATGTAATAAAACATGTTTAACATGTGCTTATTCAGATTAATATTGTCTAACTTGTTCAATTGATAATTTTAGAATATTTAAATCTGGAAATACATGTGAATGTATATAAGGATACTATGAAAATTAAATAACTTATGCATGTGAATAATGTTCAAAATCTTGTTTAACTTGTTCATAATAATATAATATTTGTTTAACATGTGATACAACTCTTAATATGTCTTTGATAAATAATCAATGTTTATGTTCGTAATCCTATTATTTTGATTCTTTAACTAGTTCATGTTAATGTAATATAATTATATAATTATTTAGAATGTAATTTTACTTGTTTGGATTGTCAAAATTAGAATGAATGTATATCATGTAAATTAACAACAAGACATTTAGATTAAGATTAAAAGAAATGCATATGCAATGATGGCTATTATGAAATAAACTAAGCAAATTGTTAATGTATTTAATTTATTAACTACTTTAAGAATGTCATTTATCTTGTGAAACCTGTATTAATATTGATACTAATTGTTTAAGTTGTATGAATTTATCGAATAGAATATTAACTAATAATTAATGTTTATGTATATAAGGATATTATGATGCAGGAATTGAAATATGTTAAAAATGTAATGGTAAATGTAAAACATGTGAATCATCTGCTTCAACTTGTTTATCTTGTTACGAAATTGAACAAAATAGATATTAATCAATAGATTAATGTTTATGTAAATCTGGATATTTTGAATCTAATTCAGATATCTGTTAAAGTAATCTATATTAATTAATAATTTAGAATGTTCAAATGAATGTCTTACATGTTAAGGGTCACCTGATTATTGTACAAGTTGCGATATCAATTCGAAAAGAATAGATTAATCATTTATTCACAAATGTCCGTGCATAATTGGATTTTATCAGGATCAAAATTAAATTTGTTAAAGTAAATATATAATTTATTTAAAGAATGTCATTATAAATGTTAAACTTGTATAAATGTAAGTGATTAATGTTTAAGTTGTAAGTTTGAATTAAATTCAAATAGAAAATCTTTATCTGATTTTTGTAATTGTAAAGAAGGCTATTACGATGATGGAACTTAATTATAATGCTAAAAATGCAATGTTAGATGTAAAAGTTGTCTAAATGATCCAAATAACTGTTAAGTTTGTTCAAATTCAATACGAAGTAATCCTCCAAAATGTCATTGTATTGATGGTTATTATGAAGATATATAATTGACTTGTTAAAGTATTTATTATTCTTAAAAATAAGTGTGTACTTATTAATGTAGCACTTGTGCGACTTAACCATAAAACTGTTTGACTTGTAAACCAGGAAGATCTGGAAATGATTGTAAATGTAGCGATGGATATTTTGAAAATGGATCCATATTTTGCGATTGTATTAATTCTTATCAATTTAATTAGAATGTGCATTTTAATGCGCTACTTGTAATAATTCTTCATAGAATTGTAACAAATGTAAAGGAAATAGAATTCAAGAACCTTAATGCATTTGTTAACCAGGCTATTTTGATGATCAATTAAATGAAGATTGTTAATTATGTGATAGTTCCTGTTTGGAATGTAATAAAATTGGATGTTTATCTTGTAATGCCAATAGAATAATAAATGATGATATGGATTGCGTGCCTCCACCGAATTCAATTTGGTATGTTAGTACTCCTTGGTGTTCAAGTAAGTTAATTCAATATGTTTATAGCTTGTTAGGTTGCAGTTATTAAAGCATATTTATCAGATGATATTAGTAAAATTATTATTCATTTTGATTTCCCTTTAAATTCAAAGGCATTTAACTCATAATTTGAATTAAATAAATGTTTGTAGTTATTTGAATTAGAATCTGTTTCAAGCTTTGGTTTAAATTGCAACTGTTTTCTTAATCCAGATGATAATCAACAATTATTAATATCATTAGGAGAAAACTCAAAAATAAATGTAGGTGATGAGTTATTATTTCTAAGTAATACTTTATCCCATTTTAATTGTGAAACTACTTTAAACAAGTTTATTTTTCCAACATTATAATTGCCATTAAGCCCTTTTGCTCCATAAATTGAATATAATGTACCTCTATATAAACTAAATCCTTATACAGAAAACTCTGTTTACTTGAAATCAATAAAAAACCATGGATTTAGAAAATTAACTAATATTATTTGGACTTTTTAAGCGGAAACCAGTTAAAATGCAGAAGCCTTGAATGATTTCATTACTTAAATCAACTTACTTTAGGAATAGAATTTGCTCATACCTAAACTTACATTACCAGCCGATGCTATCCTTAAATTTAAAATCCAATATCAAAATTTCATCAGTATTCATTCATAATCAGAATTTACTATATAAACTCATTCAGGAAGCCTTCCATACATTGATATAACTGTAAAACCTTAATATTTCGTATATGAGACAATTATTGTAGGGTTATCTGCTAGCACTTTATATTAATCAAATTAAACTGATAGTTCAAAATATTTAATTGAAATTAGCGAAATTGATAGATATCCTAAAAGGTCCTTCTCATCTCAACTAAATAAATCAATATAATCTAATGCATTTGAAAAAATTCAAGCTAACATCCTAAAATATACATTAAGTCCTAATACAACATATACATTCTAAGTAACAGCAACGAATTTAAATATTAATAAGGTTCAATAATAAAATTTGAGTATTTACATCCCATATGCTGGATTAATCTGCAAATTTAATAACAAAGGAATTCAGAGTATTAGAAAGGATCTCAATTTATAGATACTATGCAGAGATTTAGACACAGTATTTGAATGGAATACTGATCCAGATTTGTATGTTCAAGTAGGCTGTAAGGATTTAACTTTAAATAGTACTTGCATAAATTAATAAAAATAAATAATTAATGCCAATGTCACAGATACATTTTAGTTTATTAAAAAGAATTCAATTTCTTCTTTAACTGTGTAGGAATGGTAAGTCATAGTAACCAAATTTGACTAAATTTACAAATTTACATAAATTATAGTCTTTCTTGAAGATGATTTCCCTGTTTTAGATTTGGAATTTAATTAGGGTTACTTAATGAGATAAGTTAATAATTATGAATAGCTCAATTTTACATTTCTTATCCCATTCAATTAAAAACCATAGTTATTAGATCTATCAATTGCGCTTATATACAACTATCAGATAATAACAATACTGTAACCTAAATATTTCTCTCATTAATTTAAGTTATTTAATAGTCTATAAGAATTAAAATTGGGCAATAGTATTAATCTTAAATTTACAGCATAATATACAAATAATATCATGCCTAGTCTCAATTCCATAAAACTAACTATCAATCAACCTCCTATCTGTTCAAAATTAATTATTACTCGTTCTAATGATTTAGCACTTGCAAATATAATGGTTACTACCACTTGTTAATATTCAGAAGATTCTCCTTATAAATATGAGCTGAGAGTATTTTTGAGAGAATAAGATTTAACAGATTTTTTGAAAGGTTCATCTGATAATTCCTTAATTCTTTATCCATATTAATCATAAACTCAATTTTAGATTTAAATTCCTACTTCAGTAGATTCTTCAAAAATTGGACTTTTATTATAAGTGCTTGATTAAGGAGGGTCAATAACTCCTATTTATGAGTTGATTAGTTCATCCCCTGCAAAAATAAATTGCTCCTTAATTTCATTTACAAATTTGAATTTACAAAGCAAGATTTCATTGTTATTTGAAGCGTTGAATTAAAAATGTAATTAGTTGCATAGTTAAATTTACCTTGATTTGCTTTACCAATAAATTTTGCCAGATTAGAATGATAATATCCTAAAATTTTAAGCCATAAAATTATATAGGTAGTTTTTAATCTAGTTTGGATAGGCTAAACCTAAAAATCGTTTATTATTTGAATCAAATTAAAAAGGATGCTATGATACAAATTCAACTCATTTCTTTATTACATAGAATTAGGATGTATCTAATTCTAATTCAACAACAAAGATAGAAGAGTTGTAAGATAATGTTAAGAAATTAGATTCATCATTTAAATATTTTAGTGGAATGAAAAAGCAAAGTGAAGATGGGCTCAATGAGAATAATTATGCTTGGAATTAAGAGCTTTTCTAATAATTATCAAACTTCTAAGGAGGTTTAATAAATCTATTATACTTTGTTGATGAATTGTATTCTAACTTTTTATCAGCAAATACAACAAATGAAACAATTTACTCAAGTATTGTTGAATTGTTAAAGTATAAAAGTTCAATAATAGAGGAAATATAGAATAAAATTATTGTTAACGATTAACCATTATACATTGAAGGGAAAGATATGATTTTTTAACTCAAAAAAAGAACAAAAAAGATCTTCAATTAATAATTTAATATTGAACCAGCTTTTGAAGACTATATAATAGACTTTATTCAATGTGAATCAACATTTCTTACAATAAATCCATTAATATTCAGTCCAGAATAAGATAAAATTCTCTAATAACATTTTAATGACAAAACTATGCAAATATTGTCAGATAATTACTACTTAATAAAATTATTCAATGTTATTAAAAACAGATATATAGGCTATGAAAATATTTCATCTTAGTTTGGCACTAAGTTTGGAACATATGAGATCTGCTCTAATCAATCGTAAAAAATTAAAGAATTTGAGATATTGTGTATTTCAAGAGCAGTCTCTGGAGGATATCATAAATGTAATTTAAATAAAGTTGAAAATAAAGAAAATGTTGAATTAACTTGTGAATGCAAGAGTTTGGGGGAAATATTTTTAATTTCTTCTACAAATTTTAGTTTTGTAGAAGTATTTAATAATAGCACAGATGAAACTGCTTTTGATATCACTTCATTCTAAGATGACTTCTTTATTTTAATCATATGTACAAGTTCATTGACTATAATACTTTTTGGAACTTATATTTTTTAATTAATCAGAGACTTTAGACATAATTCAGATGATATAAATTTATCAGAAGCTGGTAGCGTAAAGGTAGATGTAAATAAAATGATGTACAAAGGAAATTCTACACTTTTCAAAAAAAAATTCAAAGTAAATTTTAATTTAATTATTAGGATATTCATCAAGTCATTTCACTTGCTTATTACAAAGACTATTAAATTAAATTCAGTTATAGAATTTTAGAAGTCATTTCCTAAATTAGCTTATTGTTAACATTTAATATTATTGAGTTTTATTTGTAAAATCTTAACATACCCCTGATATTTGCTTTTATGATTGTTAACCCTATTATTGTTTTTATTCTGAGAATAGTTTATAAAATTATTGAAGCTATATATAGATTCAGAAAAATTCCTGCAATAATAAGTTCGCTAATTCTAATCATGATATTAATATTACCGAATATAATCCTCATTATTATTCACAGAATAAGGTAATTATCAATTATAATTTAGATTGGAAGCTCAATCAGAGATATATATAATGGTTATTATTTTCGTTGTGAATATTGTAATTTCATAAACAGTGATTGAAGCAATTTCAATATTCGGAAGAATTGTAGTTTATAGAATAATAGCCTCAAGCCTCAAATCAATGGATTTTAACCCATTATTTCTTTTGATGCATTTTTTTGTTCTACACAATAGTCTTGAGGATATTTTTGACGAGTTTTTAAAAATTTGAAATATAGAATATTACATAAAGATTAAAATTTTTATAATAATTATATCAAATTCATAAAGCTTTCTAAATAAATAGTATTAAATTACCTAATTTATAATTAGTTAATTTTTGTTTATATGAGACTTAGATAAAATTTTAATGGAGATTTAATTCCACTTCTTTAAGTTCCATTATATCTTTGATTTAGTATTTGTTGTGGATTCTCGTATGCATTCTAAATTTCAAAAATACTTGACTATTATCCAAGGGTTTAGTTAGATTAACAAAGATATTACATGAACCAAACAATTAATGAAAATTATATAGATTTATAATGATTATAAAGAATAATAGAATCACTAAGCATTCAAAGCACAAATATTATTAATTTTTTGCTTGCTTTCGATTAAACAAAGAGAATTGGAAATATATTTGATTAATCCTTTTAGTAAGTGGAAGAGTTAAAATAATTTCCTAATATCTAAATCTGTTAAATAAGTTGCTAGATTCTTGGATCTTTTTAATAAAAATGGAATATATATAATTGATAATATATTTGATGCATATGATTTATCAATTTTTTCCGAAAATAATCGCTAAAATTTCTAGGATTCTCAAAAACAAGATCACAAAATCTATGTATAATAACATAGCTGCAATAATATAATCATCAATAGTTAAATAATTAGACTAAAATTTGAACAATAATTTTACACGGTCGCGAATAATATGTTAGGTATCTAATATCATGAAACCTCCGTATATGATGACGCATATAGTACAGATGAATAAATGGAACCAAATATTTCGAACAAATAGGCCAATTATGCACATAACCAATATACTCATGCTTAAAACAAAGCAGAAATGTCCTTGAATAATAAATAAAGTAATCAACCAGCAGCTGAATAATCTGATTTTGTACGCCATGCATATATTGTGAGCATAATAGTAATTCCAAAAGTGATCGATGCTGCAATAATGACTAATTGAACTTTAATAATATTTAAATTGTCAATTTACCTCCATTTGATAATAATTCAAAGCAGATTATACAAGGTGCAGCCACAACTGTACTAAAACATAGTGTAAAAATAATAAGTAATATGTAGTTTAGAGGCACCTATATGATATGATTAATTGCTTACTCTTCTAGCTACTTTTCTACAGCAAAATATAGCAATTTCTACTATTAAGGCAATTAGAAAGCAAAATATAGTCAATGGTTTCAACAGAATAGATTATGGGTAGATAATGGCGTTTCTCAAATTTTGAAAATAATAAGATGCCAAAATTAACAGAAAGGTGATTAAAAGTTAAAAGCTAATGAGGGCATAGACTTTCACAATAAATCTAGCTCGAATATCTGAATCTGCCGAGCATACTAAACCAGTATATTCAGAATCACTGATCGTCATAGGATTATTGAATGAAGCATGATTAGCATTTCCAATTTGATAGGCAAGCTATTGTGGTTATTTATTATTTTGATCAAAGGGGTTTTATTAATGAGGAGTTTGTTAGTTGTATTGAAGTTATTGATTTGGATTATCAGAGTAATATCTATTGTTATTGTTGATCATATAATACTATCAATATAATAATGATATAAATAACATAACATACAAATTCAATTAATTTATTTCTAATGTAAGCGATAAATTACATCATTGATCATATTACACATTTTTCTATTTTAAAGTGTTACTTTGCTTAAAAGTTAAAGTTTTATTTCCATTTTATCAAAATTCCTATCCTTATCTTCATTGCTCATGAGATGACTTTGAAAGCTTAAATAATTGTAATCCTTTCTTAATGAATATTTTTGTATGACCTTATGCCTAATTAGGATATAATGAGATACTGTTTCAATTTCTTGATTGTTTAAGCTAGAATTGATCTCTTGATATCAAATAATTCTTAAAACTTTATTATTCCAATATCTTATTAATTAAATTGGCAATATCTCTCAATTCATATACAGCTGTGAAATTCCAGATTTCTCCTTATTAATTCACTTTTGGAAAAATGAATAACTTCTGTAATTATTGGAAATTCAAATGAATATGGTTAGAATCTTCATCTGGAATGAATATGGCTTATAAATCAAGTTTAAGCGAAACTTGAAATTTGATGAATTTCTCTAATTTTAATCATTTTACCATAATTTCTTGAGTTATCCAATTTGGAATGAAACTCTTTGATTAGTTCTATGTGATTATTGATACAGAGTAGTAAATCTTTAGGATATTATAGCATGATTGTCTGATTGCATTCTTCTTGCTGTAGTCTATTCAGATAAGCAACTTCTTGAAATGCTATATTAAGGTATTTTGACAGATTATTTACTGGTTTAATATTTTTATCAATTGAGCAATTGTTTTTAGTAGGAGCAATTATATTGTTTTTTAGATTTCTAATATACTTTGATTTAGCTTAGTTTATTCATTTATAAATTTTTGTTTTATTGTTTAATTTCTAAAAATAAAATAAATTAAAGGAATAGATAAAAAATATCTGAAAACTCTGATTATCTGAAATATCCCCTTACCAGAACGCAATTTCGACTATTGATTGCCCCTTATAATTCGCAAATATAATTATTTTAAAAGAGAGCATAGTTACTTGTAGATTGTCAGATTAAATAATATTAATATTTATTAATCATATTTTATGACAAATAAATTTATCAAATCTAACATATATTCATGTAATAAAAAAAAATATTTATTATTATGTTTCCTAAGTCTTTGAGAAAAGACGATAAATTATCACACTTTTGTTTAATTCCAGTTTTAAAAAAACAATAAATATAATAATAGTGCATATTGGAAAATTCTACTAATTATTTCTTCGTATAATAATGAAATTAAAATTACACAAGAAGTCGTAATAGGCATTTAAACACGGTTATTTTTCAATCTAGTGTAAGCAATTAATACAATAATGAATTTCCATATACTCATTTCAAATAAGTATTTTAATTCTAAATAGATATTCCATATTAATTAAATTGGATATTATTAAAGTTAATAGTTTTAAAGATAATTTTCAAACCATATAAAAATAGTATGTAAATTTTATTCATAATTTTTGGATTCCATATTCATCAACTAGTTTCATATACCACAATCTGCGAGACACTGCAAATAGATTAGAAAATAGGATGTAACAATAAACTTCATGAATGTTTTATTTTGGAAGGAGATGAAGAAGATTACTACAAACTCAAACGTATTGATAAAGAAGTTATATAAAAATCCTTTACTATCCCTTACAATGATATACCTATTTAAATAAAAATGTTTAAATAATATGAATAAGGTATGATCTCAAAGAAACTAATTTGTTCTTTGTTTTAGAATAAGAATTATTATATAACATGTAAGAGTTTTGACACATTAAATTATGGTGAAAACAGCCAATTACTAGAGAATCTTAAAATAGAGATAAAAAATTTATAAGAAGAAATCTGTGATGAAATGTTTTAGTTAGATGAAGGAATAATAATTTTATTTTGCTTGAAATAATCTATTTTAAGATAATATTCTGTCAGTCTAAAAGGAGATGTGATGCTAATGATTGAATATGATGTTTTTGAGTAAATTTAAGATTAGTGCAAGAAGAAATCATATAATTAAAAAGGAAAAAATCAATTTCTAATAACATTTTTTTAATGTTCAAAATGGAAATTCCTTTAAATTATTAATCAAGAAATAATAATTATTTTAGAATATACACTGAAAGATTATGAAAAATTGCTTCAATATTTTCCCTATGTATAAGATGTGTAATTATGCTAATAATAATCCTAAATTCTATACCTTTTTGAAGATAATAATTATCTTCAAGTTAGGTTTGGATCAAATTTAAAGATAACAGTTTAATTCTTAAGGAATGAAAATCCAATTTAAAAAATAGTACTTTTGAAACCTTGTACAGTCAGTGTACTAATTATATATCAAAAAACAACTAAGTATTAATCATATAAAAAGATAGACCACCAGATTTTCTTAAATTAACCTTTTGAAGCAGATAATATTAATTTTTTCTCCAATTATCTCTTTATATAAAATTAAACATAACTAATTTTAAGAATAGATGATCATTTAATTTAAACATATGAAATCTTAAACACAAAATTAAATTTCTTTGAATATGATAATCTGTTTTATCAAATAGACATATAGAAAAATTTGGTACAATTTTATAGATATTATCCAATGAGTAGTTTTATTGAACCTAAATAATAATATATATATATCATTCAGAAACTAGATATATTCTACACTTAATCCTTAAAATATTGTTTTAGAATGGAATATGAAGATAAGGTTACTTAAAAAAAGGAAGAATTTAAAGGGGTCTGTATTAACAAGGATTGTTAACTCAAGCAGGAAGTACAACTTGTTACAAACACATTTTAGTCATTTTCACAAAACAAGTTTTCTTTTTATATTAATAACAATGAGGTTATTTATTTGAGTATTAAAAATGACGCATAAGAAGATATAAAATGTTATTAGCGCATAAAAGGCTATAGATTTAAAAGTAAGACCTATCTAAGATCTATGCTTTTTCTAAATTATTTAGTTTTTCATCATGAGGATTCTATATATTTCCATAATTGTTAATAAAACAAGATTGAAATAACCATTAACACAAATCAATTTGAAGTATTTCAATATCAAGAAGACTATTATCTAATTGATAAAAAGAATAATTAATTAAAAGTGATGACATTTATTTAAGGCAATTTAGGCTAAATTGTTTTAAAGAATAATATAGAAATAATAAGAGCCTAACAAATTTAGTAATAACTGCTTCTTTATTTGAAAAATGAAAAATCTCCAGTATTAATATCTAAAAGTTTATTCTAACACTATTATAAGTAACTTTCTGATAATTTGGTTTAACCCGAATAAATTCTTTATTATTAAGAAATTGGAATGTATAAATTCATTCAATATCCAAATATTTTTGCTTGCGAATTTCAAGAAGAAGTCAAATGTTTTAAATTTTCAGATTCTATTATCATTTAAATTACAAGACTGCTAACAGACTTTTATTCAATTTTTGCAGTACAAAGTCAAACTAACTCAATACTTCTTTATTATACTAATTTTATTGAATTACATTTATACCATAATTATACTCTATAAGAATATTAATTCTCAAATCCTCTAAAGTATAACTAAATTACAAATACTTTTGCCTTAGGTAGCTTAGCTATTTTAACTGAACTGAACTCTTCCTTTTTTATATTTATATTCACAGAATAAGACTAATCAATAGAGTTGAGAGATATTATCCAAGCTGATGATTCTTATTTTTAAATTCTAAATCAAACTTTATTATATTTAAAAAATGGATACATGCGGGTCCATTATTTGAATCAAATAAATGCACTAATTGAAACTAATATGAGTGGATGCAAGAACTTATTTAACTTTTATCAATTAACTTTGAAACCAACTTCAAGATTTATAAATGATTTAAACTTAAAACTATTAGTTTTAAATGAATGTTTGTAATTATTTCCTCTTAAGAATTCAATATCTTTAAGATTATAATAGAATGAAAATATATATCTAAAGATTTCTGAAATGTTTTAGGGCCCAATACATAATTTAACTATTATTGATAATCCAAAAATTTATTTGAAAAGCCCTTTTTAATTTATATAATAAATCAATGATTGCAATGAAGAAATGCTTATTTGCATTAAAACAATAACTCAATTATTTAATTAATCTGAAAATATCAATATAAAATATTCATTTTTTGTAATAATTTAAGAAGATAAACGAATATGTCAAGCTCTAGTGCCGATAGATGATTCTGACAACTAGATATTTTGGGTATCGGATTATTCTTTTATATGGTTTCGGTGTATTGACGAAGTGTTATACATTCGCTTATTATAATGCTCTAAAGAGATGGGTTTATAATGTAAGGAAATCATGTTCGCACTTTTTAACTTTAAGATTTAAATTTCTTTGAGTGTTTAAATTAGAAAAAGTGAAAATTTAGTTCAAATATTAAATAGTAATACCTAAATATATATATATATTTCTAATTAGAATTTTACTCATATTGACATTCCAGATTTTCATTTCGACTTTAAATATGTTGAACACTCTGAAAATTTATTTATCGCTTTATCAAAAGTAGACTAAGCATAAAATTCTTCCACAATATTAAGAGTCTATAAAATTAATTTTAATGGGTATGTTGAGATATTCTCAAAGATAGTCAACAAAGATATTCAAAATCTATTGCCTATGGATGACTCATTGGAAAGATTATCTTTAATATCATGTAGGTAGAATGGAAATGTTATTACTGTGAATATTTTAGTTTCGTACCTCAAAAATTTCTTTATCATTATGTTTTAGATCGATATATAGAATATACTTATTATATAATAAAAATTGTCAAAACAGATTAGAAACTCGTTTCCAAATTAAGAGTACGAACTTAATTATGTAAACGATGATTATTTGATTTTGAACATGAAAGTACAAAATGCTACTATTTTATTTGATTTATCTGAGGAAAGATTATTTTATGATAATCACTATTTTTCTCATCTTCACACTTAAATCACAAGAATAAATACTACACATTTTATTTTTAGGAATCAATCACAGTTCCATTTGGGAATAATATAATAATATGAGATCGATCTACGAGAAGTCAATGATACAAACCTTACTTTTATCTTAATTGCCTAAAATCACTTATCAGATACTTAAATTTCAATTAATGTAACTCGCTCGAAAATTTTAGACCATTTAAATAAGATAATTATACTAATTTTACTAATCAACATTATTTTTATTCTCTTATAATTAAGAACTAAGTGGTATAGGAAAATATAAAAGAAATAATCAAGATATTGAATCTTATAATAATAAGAAATGTATTTAATTTTTTTTAAATTATTTGTTTACTTTCAATGGAATAAAAAATTTAATTATTCTGATTTCTCTGTGATAAAACAGTAATCACTCAATCATCATAATTTTTATTAAAAACTTATATTTTAAATAAATATGCTTAAAAGATTTTCTTTATATATATCCTAACTAATTATCTCAATTAAGATTTAAATAATAATAAGGCTTAATCCATTATATTTCTGTCTACTTCATTTTTTTATCTCTTCTAATATATGTTGAATTCTTTGTATCATTTAATTATGGTTAATAATTATTTAAATAATTAATATTTTTTATGACTCTTTCATTTTAAACTTGTTTCATAATGACATTAGTTTTGAATATTTTTATGGGTTTGTCAGAGGAATGTGCCGAAATAATTATTGGACCTTAGGAGAAATTCATTTCATAAAGATAGAATTTATTATTAATTGAGAGTGAAACAGAAGAAATAGAACAAACTAATATTAATTTAATTAGTGAATCCTTAAGAATTTAGTGCTTTGAAAGTGAACATATAATCTCCACATTGACTATTGAATACTTTAATTTTAGATATATTGAAGATTAATTATTCTGTAAATTTATAAAGACCGAAACCTATTTTATCACTTGTATAAAAGTAATTGATTATTATGCAAATCTTAGATTGAACTATTTAAATGAATAGATTATTATATCAATTGAGCTTAACGAATTGAAAGGAATTGAATGTCACGATTTTTTTATCAATTAAGAATCATAATTTATCATATTTTGCATTAATAATTTTCATCTGGAAATATATTGCATTGATTCGGATGACTAAATACATTTGCTTTCCTACCATAAAATCAACTAATAATAATAGGAAATGTGTAAAAGGAATTTTGTAAAATTAGATGATAATTATTTTATGATATCTTTCTATCAATGCTAAAATTGGGGAATATATATTTATTGGTAAAAGGAAATAAAAGAGTTGGTAAATGAAGAATTAGTAAAACCTCTCTAAATATCATATTTAGAAAATGTTTAGATTTGTTAATATAGCCTTTATTTGATTAGTTAGTTTGGGTATTAAATATTTTGGATTATCAAAATGAACGAGGTTAAGATTTCAATATTTTTTGAGTTTCCTGCACATTTTAGAAATCTTCTACTTTCATCAAATTGCCTATTCTAGCATTATGTTCTCTATAATTAATCAATTAATTAGACCATAATTTTTCATTACACCAAAAAATAGATGACATCATTTGAAGGTACAGATGTATAAATTGAATAGTTGGAGAACATATTTATTGCGAAAACTCAAAATCAACTTAAAGTTACGTACAATTAAGAGTTTTAATAAATAATTTAACTAAATGCTTCACAATTAACTATTGATAATAATTATAATTTGATATATTGGTTTGATGAAACTGCTAAAGAACTAATTTTTTATAAAATTTCATATCCAAAAAATGTAATTACACCGTCTAAAAACTATATCATCATGGTTGGTGGTTTTTTAATTTACAACCAGACCAAATTTTGCATCAAAATTAAATACAAAATGGAAAACCACTACAATAAAAATTAGACTTTAGAATTCAATAATTAGTGTTAAAATCAATCCTCAATATTCTATAGTAAAGAAGATTTGCAATTACCCAATATATATGAGATAAAACTTGATTTAAACTCAAAGTTTAGACTCAACATTTTAGATTAATACTCCTTTAAATCCCTGTGTCCAAAACTCTAAAACTTTAATCCTTAGGATACTATATTACTATATTATGAAGCCGATTCTAACATATCTTTTTCTATGATTCAAACTAAAGATTACATCTATTTCCAAAATTGTCATAATGCAACTATAAGCAAAGTTGATATCTAAAATTGTTAGGTATTTTATTTTTAAAGTTATCTCCTCCTATATAATAAAAATAAATAAGAACTATAACTTTTTGGATTTCAGGATATATTAATTAAAAAATTTAGGATATTAATTTAAATAACTGATATTCTTTAATTTTAATAAATTTTTTTAATATTTACATCAGATGGTGAAGATCCTCAAGTAATTGATTTATCAAACCATTATTCAATTTTTTTAACCAAATAAGCTAATAAAATCTTGAATAAATTACATTAGATTTATCACTAAGGCAAACAAAAAAATTAAAATTTTACACCTAATCATTTTTTTATTAAATAAGATAGATTAAAATTTTTTCAGTATAATCAATATTTGATAAATTTAATTCATAACAAGGTTAAAATGTTTAGATTGGAAAACATATAAATTATTTTGTTAAGATAATTAATAAACCAATAATATTTATTGGGAGTACATTTAATTAAGAATTTAATAACAGATTATATTTTTGATATTTAATAGGTATCTGAATTGTCTTCCATTAATTTAGACAATTATGAATTGATTAGACCTTTAAAGTACTAGATCAACTCAAAATATTTGGCCTTGGCAGCTTTGAGTCAAACCAAAACTTATGTTTTAATATTTGAGATTAGAATAACAAGACCTCTTCTGTTGGTAAAAGTTATTTAAATAAATAGAATCGAATTCTTTTTCTCAGGAGATTAATTGTTCTATTATAATTTTGAAGGTGAGATTAAGATATATAATTTGCAATATTTTGAATTTTAATTATTAGATTCCATTGAACATGATAAAATCGCTATGAAAGGTAACATTAATTTTGAAATTATTTCAGAAACAAAAAGTGACCCTGCAATTAGTTTAGGATTCACATTAAAGGGTTACAATGAATGCTAAAAATTGTTTTAAAAAAGTAATCATTCGTCTATAGATTCAACTTAACAATAAATAATACCTTCCAAATATTTTTATGGCTCTATAGATCTATTAAAAATAGAGGGCAGTAATGGAACTAATATTCTTGAACCATTAAGATTTATTCAGTGCCTTAATATCAGTAGTCCCCGTTATTAAAGTAGAATCAAGAAATTTGATATTGGTCCAATTCTCAATAATAACTAGAGCTCTAATAAAATTTAAAGCATAGATATAATATTAGCTGATGATGAATTTGATCAAACTTTTATAATCAATCCAATAGATTAATTCGATGGGAAGATAATACCAATTAATAATCAGCATATATTATTTTTTTTTGATTAAGTTAATTTCATAAAGGTAGCCATGTATTTGTTAGATGAAGATGCTTAAATTGTAGTACAGGAACCTATATTAGTGTTAAATATAACTTTGAAAAAATTATATAATCATTATCATATTTTCAAAACTGGCGATCTAATTGTATTTAAGTCTTAATCTCATTTATTACTTTATATGATCTTGAATGCTCGCATAGAGTTTATTGAGAATGATTTAATACTTCTAGATATGCTTAAAGTTTAAGGGAACAATCAATTTTACATATCCTTTTCGTAATTAAGAGATAAACAAGAATATTAATTCCATGTTTTTTCTATCCATGAATTTAATTTAGTTTCTATTGGAACTGCAATCCTGTAACTGTAAACCATTTTTATTGAATTATAAGACTACATTCAAATTATATTCTATGAATTTATAAACGAAAATAGTAAAATAAGTCTATTAGAGTGTGAAATTTTTGATTAGGATTTGAGACTAAAGGTATTTCAAACATTTACCCAAATTTAAATAATAAGTCAAATTTGCATAAATTTGGAAAATTATTCAATTTCTTTTAAAGTCCACAAAATACTTAGGCACGGATTTGGAGATAATGTTAAATTATAATTTTATAATAAAAATAACCTTATTCTAATGTCACCCTCAAATTTATCCTACTATTATGATCTAAAAGAATCTCAAAATTTTTTTGATTATTTTGGAAAAAGTATTTCAAATGATTATTTATATTATCCTTTTAATACTACTCATTTATATGTATTCTAAACAAGCACTAATTATATATTCTTGGGAGAATTAGGTTACAACTTTGATACTAAGAGTCAACTTTTTAAAAATTAAACATTTACCTTGGTAGCTGAGAACTAGGTATCATAAGCTCGATGTAGTATAACCATTATTGACATTAATTATCAATAAGTTGATAGCAAATTTTTAATAAAATTGCTTATTTCATTTGTGCTTATTTTCGTTTTATATTTTCTTTTTAGAAGGGTGCAATTAAAGCGTAAATAGTAACACAATGAAAGACATCATCAAATTCTTTCAAATACCTCAAAAAATTGAAGAATGATTTAAATATACATATAAATATTTTTATATATATAATAAATTTAATAAACTAAAAAAAAAATATTCAATCCCCAATGGCTGAAGGTTATATTTATTTAATTCTTAAATTAAAATAGAATTAGCTTTTTCTTTAATTAATTATATATTTCTCCAAACAATTGATTACTTAAACTAATCCTATGCGAATGTTTCATGCTCTGCAAATAATGATTGAGGTTATCATTAGTAAGAATCATGCTTCCGTCCAATAAGTTCTCTATTTGACTAACATTCATCTATGGAGTATTTGTAACTAAACTCTAAGTTACTATATTGATACTTATTGCTTTAAATAAATTGTTTAACCAATAGGTCTGATTTGGGTAGTGAATACTTTACATTGTAATAGAGCTATATGTTTTTTAAAAATAATTTCTGGATGATAATAGTAAAAAAAGACAATTTACATTTTTACCAGACGATATCAGTACTACTAATGGGTAAATCTTTTGGCTCAGTATTTTCTCCAATGAGGATGTATACTCAAACCGAAGAAATAAATCAATTGGTATACCTTAAATTTCTAATCAAAAACTAAAAGCAATAAATGATTTTATCGTTGTTATCCTGCTCTGATCATCAACTATGGATTGATCTGTATATTAAGGATCAACCCTTTGAAATAGTTATTGACCAAAATAATTATTTCATTGATTTACTAAGTAATGTTACTCACTTATTTCTAGTGCTCTGCATTTAAGTGATGGAATCGATGGATTTATGATCGAATCAAATAATCAAACACATTTCTATAAAACATTAGTACTTACAATGTAAAATTTATAGAATTATATACAGCAACATTACATTCCAAAACGTTACGATAAGATTGGCAACTTCAAACCAGACCATAAACCTAACTTAAATGAAATATCTTGCCTCTCCTCTTATGCTGTCAATTATAGAGACTGGAAGAAACAATATCATGGTCTCATAGGTCCCATTAATGCTTCTAGCGAGAAGAAACTGCCATTTGTAGCTGAAACCAATTACATCGAAATTTCTTCACTTAAAAATATGAAAAACAAGATCCTATCATCCCCAAATAATTGTACTCTATATCTCACTATCACTAGAGGTCCATTCCCAAACCAACCAAAAACCCTGATCCGAGATACTACACACAAATCCTAATTTTGTTTACCCTAATAAGATAATGCATCCACTTAAAATTTGGTTTATAGTCAAAGAACAAATCACATCAAAAGCTTTGATGGGTATTAACCACACTACAATAAATAATCTACAATTTCAAATCAGAGTGAGGACTTTGCTGATCGTTTCTATCACTCTTCAATTGTCTAAAAATTAATGAAAAAAAGTTAGAAATAATAAAATAATTGATATAATTCAAAGTATATTTTATGATATGTCACTACTATTAAAGCAATTTATAGTGAAGAAGATCTTTTTATATTTACATTAGTTAATTTAATGAATTTTCATTTCTAGAATAGTAACTGTTTAAACGATCCAATTCTTATTCAAAATTAGTCATTTTCGGTCTAATCTTATAAGGGTAGTATAATGCAACTCGTTCCCACTCCTCCTCCTCAAGACGAGCACAATTTGATTGATTAAATTTAAATGTTGAGATATTCATTAGTATTTAATGTTCTATTTCAGGATTAATCTTTTTTAGTTCTTATTATATTTATTTAAGGTCCATTTGCATCTATTTTGAGGATGGCAAACTATTGTTTCTTTCACTTTATTGTTTAAAATTTTAAATACATCGATTTTGTTTATTGAACTGCACATAATTGTTATTTTCTTCTTGTCTGATTAAATTCCCCCAACATTCGTTTCGCTTTTTCACTCTTCAAAGAATCCAATTTATACAATTTTATAAGTGTTTTCTCATAGTTTACTTAATTCTTCTCCAACTACGCTCGAATTTTATTGTCCACTTTATCAAACAATTAATTATCATATGTAAGATCTTTGATTTTGTGGCTGATGCTTCTCATTTCCCTGTTACTCAATCTATTCCCTTTCTGAGGAGATATTGTATTCTCAATTATATCAATTGTATTGGATGAATTTATTGGAGTCACACTCTTTAAGAAATAAGCAATATTTAAACTGAAACCACACAAAAGAGTTTATTAGTATATTGATATGTTTCATTTTCCCTTCTTATTTACAATATTTGATAAGAAAACAAAAAGATGTCTTTATCAATTTGTATTATTTAATATAAAAAAATCATATAAATTTTTAATATGATATTATATAATTATTCGTAGATTCTCTACTCACCTTAACAGAAAAAAAATTTAATAAATGTTAGATTGTTAATAATTGATATGTCAATAATCTGAATAATAAAGAGTTAGTAGGATTAATGATATAATAATTTATTAGGTCATTAGAATTACATTTTAATGCTCTTACTTAAAGATAAAAGTCCTAAATATTGATTTCAGGAACTTAAATGAAGAATGAAAGTATGATCTTGAAAATGTATACATAAATTAAGAGGATTTTTCAATGAATTTTATCTCTTTAATTTTTGACATTGTTGCCACAAAAACCCTATGTCATTCAGTTTTATGAAGTTTATTTTTGATTATTTAAAAATAAAAGTATGGAGTTTGAATATAAAACATTTTTCAAAAACCAGATTAAGAATACATACTTTTATAATTAATTTAAAATAACACCAATAAAATTGAACGTAAAATATATACATTATAGATTTGACATTTTAAATAAATAATTAAAACATAATGCAATTATAGTATTCTAAATAAGTAGTATTGTGATTAGCAGTTGATAACAGTTGTTGTTATCAACATCCTATTATCGATACAAGTACATTTTGAAAATTAAATTTTAGCTAGTTATTTAAATTAAGCAACAATTACTTATATTCAATATAGCTCTAATTAAACTCATTCACTTTGATATTCTTACTAAGCTAGAGGATGGAATCAGTATATTCAAAAATAAAGCGATAGCTAATGAGGAAAAGCATGGTTGCATGGTTTTTGTTAATTTATAAGATTTATTGCAGAAAATTAAAGAAATTTTAAAGTAAAAAATACCGCTATTTTCATATATTTAAAGTCTTTTTCTAAATATTGAATTGATAAAATTGCTCATAAAAATTATTTGTATAATATGCCTAATATTGAAAAAAACTCTTTCTTTAAGATGAGGATTTAATTAAAATCATAAAATTATAGAGAGAATGTAATATTACTTAAGGTTTAGAAATATTAACAGAAATCAATTTAAAGTTCAATTTTTTAGAATGTATAATAATAGTAATTATTATTATAACATGTAAATATATATTAAATAATTAATTAAATTGTCTATTTTCGAATTAAACAAATTGATAATTGGTGTCTTAATATTCATTAAGTAACAAAAGATGCAGCTGATTCTGGCAACAACAATTTATGAAGATCAAATGATGATATATTAATTTTTAGAATATAAATGTTTATACTACCTTTTAGTATTTATGATGTTCTTATAAAGTTTTTTACAAATTTTATCTTAATTTATGCTCTATGATGACCATAGTTTCGAATTACTTAATAAGCCAACTAGTTTTCCATTCACAAGCATTTCTGATACTGAAATTTTAAGGATATTAAGCGACTGTTTCAAAACAGGAGGATTAATGAATAACTAAATAATATATTCAAACTAATAAACTATGATCAATAAAATAATTTAAATAATTATATTCTAAAAACTCAAGACTAAACAACACTATTAGTTTATTATTAGGATTTAAATAGGTAAGGAAAGTTTTGAATTTTTAAATCATATTAATAAATAAGAAATGATTGTTGCTTTGTATTTTGTATCGATTATAGTGGGAATTTTGGGTTGGAGAGACTACTATCGGGAGTACCCTAATATTTATGGATATTTTTAATCTGACAAATGCCCAGAATTACATGTACAAAAGGTTGGTCTGCATCCACACTAATGCGTCTGTAAGTTTAAGGGATTTATTTTAGCATATGCTTCGATTTGTAGGGGTGTGACAGAGATGGTGATAAAAACGGAATTGAATGGGACTTAACATGTATGTCATGACAAATTCCAACCATGGGGAGCTGGAACTCCAACAAGAGATAATATTACAGTTCATTGTGGATTTGCGGAGGGTGATCAGCTAGTGATGGAAAGGCTATCAGATGGAAATTATAAATATTATTGCTAATGTAAGTTTCAGTTAGTAATAGTTTAGCATTAATGGATGAAAAAAATGTAAGATGCTTGATAAATGCTCTTCAATAAGGCGTTTATAGTTGCCAATTTTGCAAGCCTCCTTACTTTGGACTAGATTGTAAAAAAGTTATGTATGGTTTCGATTAACGGTATACAAATCCACTCCGATGTATAAATTATATTTATTTAAGAATGCTCAGGAAATTGTTTGGAATGTGATCCAAATTAAGTTTGTAATAAATGTGTTAATGGCAAGAGTAAATTGGATTCTAACGATTAAGCGTGTTCAATAGGTATATCATAGTTTAAACTTTTTAAAGATTGTGTAGGATTTACAACTTGCTCTATAGTTTCTAATGTATATTAGTATAGTAATGTTTGCATTCCGGGAACTGTGCGTTGGTAGGACCGTTGCCTTTGTACATTTTGAATTCTATTATTAGCCTGTCCGGATGGTTGTTTAAGTTGTACTTAAGATACATAATACATGTAAAAAAGGTCTTGTGATGTCTGTGATTCTAATTACTTTAGATAATTATATAGTAATTATGAACCTAATATGTACTTTTGCTATCGAGCAAGTAGTTGTGATATCACAAGATAAGCGTTGATTAGTCAATCATAAACACCTACTGGAGAATATATTTATAATATACAATGTTATTTATGCGACCCAGGACTTATTTATGTTGCTTCTACTGGATTCTGCCAAGGTAGAATTTTAATAAAATATATCTTTAGTTAGTTATGCTGTGAAGGAAGCTTGTTTTTTTTTGGATAATTATGGAACTAAGTGCGTAGCCTGTCTTCCATGGTATAGTTTACAAAATGATGGCACGTGCAAACCAATGGCCTGCAATTAGAACTGTTTTACATGTGATGATACAGATCCAGATTTCTGTACTACTTGTGATGGTTTTAATCATAAAATACTTGATAATGGTATTTGCATATGTAAGCCAAATTATGGTCTTAAAATTGATGAGTGTGTAAAATGTTCTGAGGGTTATTGTTCAGATTGTGAATCAGGCAATTTTTTTTCATGTACGTCATGTGCACTTGAAACAAATAGAATATTAGTTGATCAATAATGCATTTGCAAACCTGGTTCATGTGAACCTGGAGATGGAAGTGTGACATGTATTGGTAAATATACTGAATAATAATTAAGTATGCGATACATCATGTGTAAATTGTTCTGGTCCAACAAGTAATGATTGTACCTTATGTCCAGATGAAATCACTTCAAATAGAATTCAGGTTGGTAATTCTTGTCCTTGTAAACCAGGTTATGCTGATTATGAAATCAAAGATGCTAAATGTGGAAGTATTTATAATTTTCTATTAAGAATGCCATCCAAGATGTAAATCATGTTTCTAAGCAGCTGATGAAACTTCAAATTAATATTGTCTAACTTGCATTCCTGGATAAAATCGTGTTCTTTCAGTGAATCTCAGTTGTGAGTGCAAAGAAAATTATGGTGATTTTGATGGCACTTCAGATATTTGTCTTAGTATTTTTATAAATTATATTTAGTCTGTGATTATACTTGTGGAGTATGTAATGATTTTGGTCCCACTCATTGCACCTCATGTTTAGAAAGCTCAAATAGATATTTAACAGCTTCAGGAGAATGCTAATGTAAAACATCATATTTTGATGATCAAACAGAAAACATAGAATGTTAAAGTATTAATAAATATTAATCCTAGAATGTCATTATTCATGTTTAAGATGTGCCAATACCATCGAAGAAAATGCATGTGTAGAATGTCCTGCAACTAGAAAGCCTAGTGATCCATTAGCCACTTAATTTCAATGTGTTTGTGAATTTTCAAACTACTTTGATGATGGATTATCACCAACCTGTCTATAATGTGATAGTTCCTGTCTAACCTGCTATGGTCCTCTTTCAGCTAACTGCCTAACTTGTGATCCAACATATAGAGAATTTGATTTATCATAATGTCTATGTCCACCAGGATATTTTGATGTTGGATAATTAGAATGTGCAAGTAAATCGATATTAAACATTATAAGAATGTCACTATTCTTGTTTTTAATGCTTTGATAATACAGCTGAAGGTTGTGTAAATTGTTCAATTGATTTTCATCTTAGAGTGTTAAAAGGAAATACTTGCAAATGCATAGATGGATATTATGATGAACCAGGAACATCTAAATGCTAAAGTAATTATGAAGATATTTGTATAATAGAATGCTCATATAAATGCGAAACTTGTTAAGATTAAGCTGAAAAATGTTTGAGTTGTCCTTTAAATTCATTGCGTACTTTTGATTCCACTTTGGGTTGCCCTTGTCCAGGAGAGTATTATGATTAAGTAAATGTGATTACATGTTAAAGTAACATAAAAATATATTAGAGAATGCCATTTCAAATGCAAAACTTGTAATGCCTAAACAGAAAGCTCATGTCTCTCATGTGATCCATTATCATATAGAGAAATTAAGCTTTAATAATGTAAATGCTAACCACATTATTTTGAAATGGAAGTTTAGGAATGCACGAGTAATTATTAAACCCAAATTTAGTTTGTAGTGCCCTCTGTTACGAATGTGTTGGCAATTTTGAAAATTGTACATCATGCTCTGATGATAGATATCTAGTTGGAAATAAATGTTTATGTGCTTCTAAGTTTTAAGGAGCTTCAATAAGTACATTTGAATTTAATGGTATGGTCAAATGCTAAAGTATATCTTCATATAAATGTTAGAGTGCCACTATTCTTGTGCAACATGTGGAGGAGTAGAGGAAAAGGATTGCATAACTTGTATTGACACAGATAATAGGTACTAAGTAGGTAATACTTGTGTCTGTAAAGAAGGATATTATGATGCAGGATTGCCTGTTTGTTAAAGTATTTATCGATTGTTATCAATAGAATGCAGTTACAAATGTAAAGGATGCTCAAAATAATCTGAATATTGTACTTCTTGTTAAGATAACAGTTTAAGNTGCAAAGAAAATTATGGTGATTTTGATGGCACTTCAGATATTTGTCTTAGTATTTTTATAAATTATATTTAGTCTGTGATTATACTTGTGGAGTATGTAATGATTTTGGTCCCACTCATTGCACCTCATGTTTAGAAAGCTCAAATAGATATTTAACAGCTTCAGGAGAATGCTAATGTAAAACATCATATTTTGATGATCAAACAGAAAACATAGAATGTTAAAGTATTAATAAATATTAATCCTAGAATGTCATTATTCATGTTTAAGATGTGCCAATACCATCGAAGAAAATGCATGTGTAGAATGTCCTGCAACTAGAAAGCCTAGTGATCCATTAGCCACTTAATTTCAATGTGTTTGTGAATTTTCAAACTACTTTGATGATGGATTATCACCAACCTGTCTATAATGTGATAGTTCCTGTCTAACCTGCTATGGTCCTCTTTCAGCTAACTGCCTAACTTGTGATCCAACATATAGAGAATTTGATTTATCATAATGTCTATGTCCACCAGGATATTTTGATGTTGGATAATTAGAATGTGCAAGTAAATCGATATTAAACATTATAAGAATGTCACTATTCTTGTTTTTAATGCTTTGATAATACAGCTGAAGGTTGTGTAAATTGTTCAATTGATTTTCATCTTAGAGTGTTAAAAGGAAATACTTGCAAATGCATAGATGGATATTATGATGAACCAGGAACATCTAAATGCTAAAGTAATTATGAAGATATTTGTATAATAGAATGCTCATATAAATGCGAAACTTGTTAAGATTAAGCTGAAAAATGTTTGAGTTGTCCTTTAAATTCATTGCGTACTTTTGATTCCACTTTGGGTTGCCCTTGTCCAGGAGAGTATTATGATTAAGTAAATGTGATTACATGTTAAAGTAACATAAAAATATATTAGAGAATGCCATTTCAAATGCAAAACTTGTAATGCCTAAACAGAAAGCTCATGTCTCTCATGTGATCCATTATCATATAGAGAAATTAAGCTTTAATAATGTAAATGCTAACCACATTATTTTGAAATGGAAGTTTAGGAATGCACGAGTAATTATTAAACCCAAATTTAGTTTGTAGTGCCCTCTGTTACGAATGTGTTGGCAATTTTGAAAATTGTACATCATGCTCTGATGATAGATATCTAGTTGGAAATAAATGTTTATGTGCTTCTAAGTTTTAAGGAGCTTCAATAAGTACATTTGAATTTAATGGTATGGTCAAATGCTAAAGTATATCTTCATATAAATGTTAGAGTGCCACTATTCTTGTGCAACATGTGGAGGAGTAGAGGAAAAGGATTGCATAACTTGTATTGACACAGATAATAGGTACTAAGTAGGTAATACTTGTGTCNAGGAATAAGACCCATAGAAGTTTAGAAGAAGATTGATAGACCCCTTTTGAATGAAAGTGTTATATATCAAGAGGTTTTCAAAGCTTAAGCAACATTAAGTGGAGAATTTTGTTACATCTATAGTTGAAGAAAAAATATCAGATGAAGATTGAGCGAGAAGCTAGAAGAATTTTCAGTAAGATGATAGAAAAGTTACTAAATGGAGTCGTCATGAAAAGAAAAGCGATGCAGAAATATAATTAAGGGAGATAGAGGAGATTGAGAATATTCTAGTAATCTTATTATTATCTTTGGAAGAATTACAGAAAAATTTGCAGAAACTAACACTGATCATTATAAAAAATAAAAATTTTTGATTTAAGAAATATACATATTTTTAAAAGAAACCAAACAAAAAAATATATTATGTCATTCAATATTATTTTCAGTTTCTATTCAGAATTACAAAAAAAAAAAAGTGTGTTTTTATCAATATACTTAATTTAAAATTTAAAATTGCCACTTAGTTTTAATGTCTTTGTGAATCTTCAAACTCCTTTGATGATGGATTATTACCAAATTGTCTATAATGTGATACCTCTTGTCTAACTTGCTATGGGCCCCTTTCATTTAACTGTCTAACGTGTGATTCAACATATAGAGTATTTGATTTATCATCTTGCATATGTCCATCTGGATATTATGATGTTGGATAATTAGAATGTGCAGGTATTTCTACTTAAAAAATTTTCAGAATGCCACTATTCTTGTTTTTAATGCTTTGATAATTCAACTGAAGGTTGTGTAAATTGTTCAATTGATTTTCATCTTAGAGTGTTAAAAGGAAACACTTGCAAATGCATAGATGGATATTATGATGAACCAGGAACATCTAAATGCTAAAGTAATTACTAAGATTATTTGTATAATAGAATGCTCATATAAATGTGAAACTTGTGAAGATTAAGCTGATAAATGTTTGAGTTGTCCTTTAAATTCATTGCGTACTCTTGATTCCGATTTGGGTTGCCTTTGCCCAGGAGAGTATTATGATTAAGAAAATGTGATAACTTGTTAAAGTAACATAAAAATATAATAAAGAATGCCACCAAAAATGCAAAACTTGTACTGCCTAAACAGAAGACTCATGTCTCTAATGCGATCCATTGTCATATAGAGAAATTAAGCTTTAATAATGTAAATGCTAACCACATTATTTTGAATTGGATGTTTCTGAATGCTCAAGTAATTATTAAACTAAATTTAGCTTGTAGTGCCTTCTGTTACGAATGTGTTGACAATTTTGATAATTGTACATCATGCTCTGATGATAGATATCTAGTTGGAAATAAATGTTTATGTGCTTCTAAGTTTGAAGGGGCTTAAATAAGTACATTTGAATTTAATGGTTTGGTTAAATGCTAAAGTATATCTTCATATAATGTTAGAGTGCCATTATTCTTGTGCAACATGTGGAGGAGTAGAGGAAAAGGATTGCATAACTTGTATTGACACAGATAATAGGTACTAAGTAGGTAATACTTGTGTTTGTAAAGAAGGATATTATGATGCAGGATTGCCTGTGTGCTAAAGTATTTATCAATTGATATCAATAGAATGCAGTTACAAATGTAAAGGATGCTCAAAATAATCTGAATAGTGTACTTCTTGTTAAGATAACAGTTTAAGATAATTAGTTTCAGATTTCAAAACATGCAAATGCTATTAAAAATATTACGATGATGGATAAAACGAAGTTTGCTAATGTATATATTTTAAATATGATTAATTAGAATGCCATTACTCATGCCTTAGATGTAATGACATTGATACGAAATGTGAATTATGCTCATTTGAATCAAATAGAATTTACAATGATCAACTATTTTCTTGTGATTGTAATGTTGGTTACTATAATACGGGAGTTGAAATCTGTTAAAAATGTCATTATTCCTGTTTAAATTGTAATTCTGGAGATTCTAATTCATGTATTTAATGTGTTGATTCTAACATTTCAAATAGAGTATTTTATAATAACACTTGTAAATGTTTATTTGGATATTTTGACAACGGTTAATCAATTAAGTGTTAAAAGTGTGATGTTCAATGTTTAACTTGTATTAATCAATCTTATTAATGTTTATCATGTCCATAAACAAGGAAATTAGAAACTAATTGTAAATGTTAATAAGGATATTATGATATTGGATAACAACTTTGTATAAAATGTAATTCTATTTGTTCTGCATGTGAATTTACACCTAATAATTGCACATAATGTGATTCTGATTAATTTAGAGAACTTAATGATATTACAAAAACTTGTGATTGTTAAATTGGTTATCTTGAACTTAATGGAATTTGTTAATAATGTGATCAAAGTTGTAAAACATGTTCATAATAATTGAATTACTGTACATCTTGTGTATAGTTTCGAAAATTAAATAGCAATAATTGTATTTGTGTTGATGGCATGTATGAATCAATTTAAGATAAATAATGTAAATTATGTAATAAAACATGTTTAACATGTGCTTATTCAGATTAATATTGTCTAACTTGTTCAATTGATAATTTTAGAATATTTAAATCTGGAAATACATGTGAATGTATATAAGGATACTATGAAAATTAAATAACTTATGCATGTGAATAATGTTCAAAATCTTGTTTAACTTGTTCATAATAATAAAATAATTGTTTAACATGTGATACAACTCTTAATATGTCTTTGATCAATAATCAATGTTTATGTTCATAATCCTATTATTTTGATTCTTTAACTAGTTCATGTTAATGTAATATAGTTATATAATTATTTAGAATGTAATTTTACTTGTTTGGATTGTCAAAATTAGAATGAATGTATATCATGTAAATTAGTTACAAGACATTTAGATTAAGATTAAAAGAAATGCATATGCAATGATGGCTATTATGAAATAAACTAAGCAAATTGTTAATGTATTTAATTTATTAACTACTTTAAGAATGTCATTTATCTTGTGAAACCTGTATTAATATTGATACTAATTGTTCAAGTTGTATGAATTTATCGAATAGAGTATTAACTAATAATTAATGTTTATGTATATAAGGATATTATGATGCAGGAATTGAAATATGTTAAAAATGTAATGGTAAATGTAAAACATGTTAATCATCTGCTTCAACTTGTTTATCTTGTTATGAAATTGAACAAAATAGATATTAATCAATAGATTAATGTTTATGTAAATCTGGATATTTTGAATCTAATTCAGATATCTGTTAAAGTAATCTATATTAATTAATAATTTAGAATGTTCAAATGAATGTCTTACATGTTAAGGGTCACCTGATTATTGTACAAGTTGCGATACCAATTCTAAAAGAATAGATTAATCATTTATTCACAAATGTCCATGCATAATTGGATTTTATCAGGATCAAAATTAAATTTGTTAAAGTAAATATATGTATTATTTAAAGAATGTCATTATAAATGTTAAACTTGTATAAATGTAAGTGATTAATGTTTAAGTTGTAAGTTTGAATTAAATTCAAATAGAAAATCTTTATCTGATTTTTGTAATTGTAAAGAAGGCTATTACGATGATGGAACTTAATTATAATGCTAAAAATGCAATGTTAGATGTAAAAGTTGTCTAAATGATCCAAATAACTGTTAAGTTTGTTCAAATTCAATACGAAGTAATCCTCCAAAGTGTAATTGTATTGATGGATATTTTGAAGATATATAATTGACTTGTTAAAGTATTTATGATCTTAAAATAAGTGTGTGCTTATTAATGTAGTACTTGTGCGACTTTACCATAAAACTGTTTGACTTGTAAACCAGGAAGATCTGGAAATGATTGCAAATGTAGTGATGGATATTTTGAAAATGGATCCATATTTTGCGATTGTATTACTTCTTATCAATTTAATTAGAATGTGCATTTTAATGCGCTACTTGTAATAATTCTTCATAGAATTGTAACAAATGTAAAGGAAATAGAATTCAAGAACCTTAATGCATTTGTTAACCAGGCTATTTTGATGATCAATTAAATGAAGATTGTTAATTATGTGATAGTTCCTGCTTGGAATGTAATAAAATTGGATGTTTATCTTGTAATGCCAATAGAATAATAAATGATGATATGGATTGCGTGCCTCCACCGAATTCAATTTGGTATGATAGTACTCCTTGGTGTTCAAGTAAGTTAATTCAATATGTTTATAGCTTGTTAGGTTGCAGTTATTAAAGCATATTTATCAGATGATATTAGTAAAATTATTATTCATTTTGATTTCCCTTTAAATTCAAAGGCATTTAACTCATAATTTGAATTAAATAAATGTTTGTAGTTATTTGAATTAGAATCTGTTTCAAGCTTTGGTTTAAATTGCAACTGTTTTCTTAATCCAGATGATAATCAACAATTATTAATATCATTAGGAGAAAACTCAAAAATAAATGTAGGTGATGAGTTATTATTTCTAAGTAATTCTTTATCTCATGTTAATTGTGAAACTACTTTAAACAAGTTTATTTTTCCAACATTATAATTGCCATTAAGCCCTTTTGCTCCATAAATTGAATATAATGTACCTCTATATAAACTGAATCCTTATACATAAAACTCTGTTTACTTGAAATCAATAAAAAACCATGGATTTAGAAAATTAACTAATATTATTTGGACTTTTTAAGCAGAAACAAGTTAAAATGCAGAAGCCTTGAATGATTTCATTACTTAAATCAACTTACTTTAGGAATAGAATTTGCTCATACCTAAACTTACATTACCAGCCGATGCTATCCTTAAATTTAAAATCCAATATCAAAATTTCATCAGTATTCATTCATAATCAGAATTTACTATATAAACTCATTCAGGAAGCCTTCCATACATTGATATAACTGTAAAACCTTAATATTTCGTATATGAGACAATTATTGTAGGGTTATCTGTTAGCACTTTATATTAATCAAATTAAACTGATAGTTCAAAATATTTAATTGAAATTAGCGAAATTGATAGATATCCTAAAAGGTCCTTCTCTTCTCAATTAAATAAATCAATATAATCTAATTCTTTTGAAAAAAATCAAGCTAACATCCTAAAATATACTTTAAGTCCTAACACAACATATACATTC